ATGAATGGCAGCCGTACTTGGTATAAATAATTAATGATCAAATACTCTATAAAATATAAATAAAAATTCATCCTAAGCTAGGATTTCAGATCTAATGTCTTTTTATTTTATTTTATAAAGCGACGAATGACATTCATGAATTTGCTAAAGAAAATAAAAATGAGATTTAGATTTTATTCATGGAAGCGAAAATAATAATAAGAAAATAGTGAGTAGATTAACTTACACACTATGTAGAGATGCTATAGTTTATATTAGGGACAGAGAAAGTACTTTTGGCGAAATTATTTGGTGACGACGCGGGTGGTCAATTTTATTCCAGATATTAAAAAATAACCTGATACCGTTTTTCAAGCTATAAATTTGGAAATGTATTGAATTATTCAATAGAAAATCGATTTTATTAATCAATTAAAAATAAACTCGATTATAGAATAATCAAAAGTATTTCGGTGGCGTTTATTTCATTTAAGTAGCTAAAATGTTTGCGAATCAAGAATACTCACGGACCGCATAACCTTTTATAAAAATTTTACTTTTTACTCGTAACAAAATATATCAGCTAATAAAAAATAATAAATACAGGTTGGTTTTTTATAATATATTGATGTCACTTATCTAGTACATACCTAAATTTAACTGCAGAAAATTATGTTAGAACTAAGAATTAATTTTTGATTAAAAATATTATATTATAATGATCTTTCCAAAAAGTTGTGGAGTCAGAAGGAATTTAGCCCGCTAAAGCGTAACATTCGGCTGCGGACATCACACAGACGTGTGAAGAATCCGATCATCATCCTCCGTTTAAAACCTTTAGAAAGATCAATCTCACAAGAAGCTCCGAGCGTCATATGAAATGAACAAAACAAAATCATACCGACTTTTAACTCGACTTTAGCGACATCTAGTGGACGTTATGTAAACTAATTGAAGCAGACGTGACTTACTGTACTTTAGCAGTTACTCTATTATTAGCTTATCACATTATTACTGGTACTGAACTGATAAAATATTAACATTTATTAAAATATACTATATTTGAATTGTGTAAATATGTCAGGAATTATTCATATTCGTTCATCATAAAGTGTTCCGCCTCTTCGCCGTAATGGGTTTTTACTTTTATCGCACAAATAATTGTCTCTTTGTATTAGAGGTTATACAGAATCTTAGATTTGTGACCGAATCAGTAAACGACAGAATACGAAATACAACTAACGCAGACGACGAGACTAGACGATACGAGAACAGAGTAATAATCACAAGTAGCGATAGTTCCGAGTTCTTGTAAACAACTAGCTTCCATCAAACACAAGTTTCTTAATATCCGAGTTTCTAACTTTGCATTTACTTTGATACGTCCAGTAACAGAATGTTGTAAAGTAAACATTCCATTCCAACGAGGGTATAATAAAATTTTGTAATTCAAGATGGCTTCATTTTATTTAGTAAAATTAAGTATGTAAGTTGATAATTAAAATTATCTACTTTCAGAACATCTATCAAGATTTGCGTAATGTTAGATATTTGTAGAATAAAAATAAATACTATGGAATTTTAATAATAAATTCTAGCGAATAGACTAAAAAAATATTACCGTTACTTGTTATTATTAAAAGTAAATAAATTATAATTAATAAAATAAATGGTATATTGTAAATACACCGGGATCGTTTATATATAATTATTTTCTTAATTTTCTATCGTTATACTATACGATAATACTCGTACCTACACTACACGCCTACTTTTGATTGATAAAATTGTATGATGCAATTTTATCAATCAAAAGTAGGCGTGTAATGTAGGTTAACAAATACTTCTATGTTTGATTTCATTTATATAGATATACATTATATGACAGTGTAATGAGGCGTTATAATACATGAAACAGTTACCATACAATTATAAAACAATTGCGTACCCTATTACATTCAATTAGTAATCGTAACTTACATAACGTACGTGATACTTGTAGTAATAACAAAAAGTTTACTTCCGACAGTGTACGTTCGTTAAATGGTGTGCGTGGCCATTCACATCATAGGGATATGAAACCAATCAGCAACGGTGCCTAGTACTATTATAATTTTTCGACAACGGTAAACTATCTCGGCTGTTTAAATCATTGTATGGAAGCATAACATCTCAGTTCTCTGGAATTGTAACGAAAAAGGGTCTTTTTAATAGAATGATGCACCCGCCTGCGCTAAAAGTTTACGCTCGCGGGGCACCAATGGAGGATGATGAGGTGAAGCTGTTAACCCATCGTGGCAAATTCACATGGTACACTGCTAGCATTAGGTTTATTACTCCACATTACTATCAATCCCCTTCTCCCTAAGACAAAAGCGTTACCACCTGTAATACATGAAGATAATATGCTTGTGGTACATTGTGCTAATCATGTACTTATGTAGGTGATCTGGATATTTTTATTATTTGGAATGCCAAGCAAGCAAATACAAAAAAAATATCTCACATCGAAATGACTAGTAGAAGTAAAATAATCAACTAGTTCCATAAATTAAATGTACCAGGATTTATTATAGGAATATGAAGACTTAAGACTTAGCGAAAGTGAATGAGCTCGCAACATACCTCGGTTGACCGGCGTCATGTACCGTTAACAGCGAAATCGGATGACTGTTAACTCATGTAAATAGGCCAGTGTTACGATCTTACACCGCAACCGCAACCACACCGTAAACATAAACAGGCAGTTTTAATGAATGACACGACTATTATGAAAAATTTCTCTCGCATCTACGATACCTACCTAATCTTTTATAGCATTATATATAGTTATATGACACTCCAATCAAACAAGTTAAGGTCAAATAGTGGCCTCTTATACGATTCGATTCTGTTAGAGAAAATATTAGTTTACGACGTAGATATTATAAATATTAAATTTTGTTTTATACCATATTACTGTATCTAGTGGTCACCCAATGGCCGAAATACGACCATGTATAATTTTGATTATAAGTTTTAACATTATGAAGATTCTATTGTCAAAGACTATACTCATAAATGTCAAAGACTATAATCACAAATTTCGCAAAGTCTACTCTGTAATCTATTCTCAATTTGACCACAAACTTGAACAATAAACAAAAGACATTGATTTATTTAAATAATCTATATTTATGCAATTATTAACAAACATAGCTTTCTACACTGCTTCTCTATATAAACTATAAGTGTGTGAAATTTTATACTAAATGGAATTTTCTTAAAATGGGATACGAAATTTTTTCTTTACCTATTAATATATAACATTGTATTGAAGTAAACCCCATATGTAATTTGATCCTGAAATATTAGCGATCGATAACTTCAGCCACAACATTTGTCATCCGTATCGGTAAATATTTACTTAGATGACATAATATTTTAGTAATTAGGGGTATCTGGTTCAATACACGAAGGATAATAGGGAATTTTAAAGCCATCGTTATGTTGGGGTTTATTATTCTTTCATATCTAGAAAAATATATTCATAAGAAATTAATTTTGAACTCTATACTGTAATCAGCTGTTTAATTATGTAACGTATGTAATATATATATTTATTTTATAATTGCAATTGTAAACCATACTAGACATACATACATATATATCTAAAAGTAAGTCTCAAATGGTTCATAAACATCGCAAACTTATCGTGTCAATTGTTACATAATAAAACAGCAGATACTATTATTAGTACTTATGCCTTCGTAAAATCTGCAGAAGATATAATATATTTTGACAAGCAAAACTTATTCCGTATGATATAATAATATAAATTAAATGGTAAACACCAAGACAGATAAAAACAATCTTATTCATGAATACAAATGTTTGCATTGTTTGAGCAATTGAACCCGCAACAATCGGATGTAAAGTATTTAACCGGTAGACTACTGGGGCCATTTTATGTGTCAATAGTCAATAGTTTAAAGTACATATAGGAGTGTACAATTGGAAAATATTATATGGTTAGATAAGTAAGACATCCATTACGATTGCCACTAGTGGTGCAGGGAAAGCCAGTTTTCCGGGCTAGTAGCCCGTGGCGGCTACGCTGCACTACTCTCGTACGGTCCGTGCTCCGGTTGATTGTTATTCAGAAATGAATTGTCATTTGCAACTTTTTTTTATCATACAAGTGGCCATCAAAGTTAGCTTAGCTTGTCCTACTAAGAATACCGTAGTACGATTTAACGGTACAACACGACGGACATATGTGTGTAATTACAGTAGATTCTACGTCATTTTAGTTTGTCTATAGTTTTTATTAACTGCTCGCGCCATTAACAACTGAAACTGCAAAGCTTAAAGAATTCCTTATTTATAGAAACAAAAGACTCCCTTTGAACTATTTTATTCTTTTGAACAGTGCTGAGAGAAAGTAAATTTAGTTTTTTATAATGTTTTTACTATAGTTATAGGACGTTTCTATGATTCATCGATCGATAATATATTCGTATTCGTCATTCGAAATTAATTGTATAATACCCATTAGTGAAACGTGGGTACGTACCCCCAATCTACCATTCTACTAATGGTCGTATACATCATTATGTTTACTATCGACATACATTTAAATGATTCTTCATAAAACTGGCTAGATTTTGTTGCAGAATCATTTTGATCTAAATTTAAGCGTGACGATGAGTATTGTGATTTGTTTGATGTTTTTAACATATTACACAAGCTGGTAAAAATAATGTGAACAAGTTAATTGAAATAGTAATTTAAAGGCGGAGCGGAAAACATATAATTTCCGATTAAGAACATCCTTATTAAGCAGGATAGAAAACATATCTGTGACGAAGGCCGAGCACTTTGATAATATTGGAATTAGATTTTTTGATGTACATTTGGAGATATAGCTACAATTGAAATGATTTGACTATTTCAACTTAATTACACTAAATGAAGTAATCAAGGAGCAAATAACTAGTAAGATTTGAGGTAGTCGTAATAACAATTATTTTTATTTGCAGGTGCGGACACGGCCACGTTTGCGGCTCTGGTTGTTCATAAGTCTTGTTCTGGGTATTCTTCATTCAACCAAAGGAGAATGCCCTTGGGATGGTCCTCCAGGTTTACAAACAGCATGTGTCTGTGCACTCAGTTTAGCAAGAGATTTGTCAGTCCAATGTGATCAGGTATGTTTTATCTTCTACCGTTCAAGACATTGTAAAACCTTAATGCTAACCTGCTATACACGCAACGGTTATAACCTACCATTAGTTAGGCCGACAGGTTTCTATCAGATATTACTATCAAAAATATAAATACGCGAAGATCATTAACAATCAACAATATTTATTAAACGATGAACACTCCCGTCAGTTTTTTATTTCTTGTGTATCAGGTACGAGTGTACGTCATGTACTCGTATAATGTTAATTGTGATCTTCTCAATACATGAATTAAATTGCTAAATGTTTGAAGAATAAAAAGATAGACGTTTTATATTTCAATTATTATGAACTTGTAAATTAGGTTTGAGAGTCATGTCGAAAGTATATATATATTAACATAGATTTTTGTTTCAGGTTGACTTTTTTGGGCTTTTAACGGCGCTAAATTCGAGTGCTCGAAGTGTATCGTTGGACCTGTTATATATAAATAATTCAACGATTCCTTTACTCAGGAATGACATGTTTCTACATCTGAAAATACATAATCTCCAAATATCAGGATGTAAAATTAAAAAAATAGACGACAATGCATTTAGAGGGCAAACTATGTACTTGAAAAATTTAAATCTCCAAGATAACGTATTGACGGAAGTCCCAACAAAGGCTTTTAAAATATTGACTAATCTCTCGCTATTAGATATTTCTAAAAATCGAATTACACATATAGATAATCACGCGTTTAGTACTCTCCGTAAATTAACCACATTAAAGATGTCAGATAATAACATAACATTAGCAGCTAACGCTCTTTCCGGATTGGAAAACTCGTTGAAAAATTTAAACCTTAAAGGAACTAAGCAAAAAGTCGTGCCAGAATGTATTAGAGGACTTCGTAATTTGGCATTTCTCGATTTGTCACAGAATAGTATACGAGAACTACCTGGTCCTGATGGAATTCGTACTTTTGAAGGGTTAAATTCACTAACAGCCCTTAATTTAGAAAGAAATTTAATAGTTACTTTAAGAGAAGATGCTTTTGTTGGAATAAAAGCAACATTAACTTCATTGAGTCTCTTAAACAATCTTTTACCAGAGTTTCCGACTGCGGCAATCGGAACATTAAGTGATTTAAGAGTTTTAGACATTGGGTTCAATTTATTAAATAAACTTCCTACTGATGCGTTTTTGAACAATCCATCAGTAACATTGCTAGCTTTAGATGGCAATCCACTGGCAACGGTGCCAGTTGAATCTTTTATTCATCTTAATCAAACACTACGAGGGCTTAGCTTAGGGGGAAGATTTTTGAATTGCGATTGCCGTCTAAGATGGATAATTGAATGGATACGAAATGGTGAACTACAAGTTACATCTCGTGAAAGGAACCCTCAATTTTGTGGTAATCCTCCACATTTTCGTGAACGTGGATTCTATAGTTTGGAACCAAACGAATTGGTGTGTGAAACTGAAACAACTACAGCTTCAGAAAAATTGACTACAAAGGAAATAAGAGAGAACATCGAGTTGAAGACAAGCACTACCAGTACAACCACAACAACTACTCCTAAGGAATCTATAGTCAGTTCAACATCATCTGTATCAAGTCAATCTGCAGTAATTAAAAACAATGAATTACCTATCAAGCCAAACTTTACTCAACCTACTACTTTCAGTACAGTACGAACAACTCGTATTCCCCCCGTAAGACCCGCAGCCCCAAGTTGGCGTCACGCACCAAATCAAAGGCCTCCCCTTGTTATGAATTTTCCTCAACAGAAACCAAAAATAGATGATTCAAATGAAGTTATAGTGAAAAATGCTTATAGACAAGATAACGCAGTTATTATCCAATGGGATTCTGATGTTGCAAATATTCTAGGTTTTAGAGTTGTTTATCGACTCTTTGGAGATAAAAGTTTCAAACAAGGTCCACCTTTAGAAGCCAGCGAGAGGGAATTCAAAATCAAAAACGTTCCATCTCAGGTAGGCACAATATATATATGTATGTACTTAATGTAATTATATTCACTACTATCAAGTATGGATAAGAGTGCAGCTCTTGAATTACTTATGAATGAACAATAACCAAATTTTATCTTATTTGTTTAGCTGGTTTTGATTATACAAACATCAATCAAAAACTATGACATAATAAATGTGCACTAAATAATAGACGCTATGCATATAATATATATTAAAATAAATATCGAAAATGTATTTTCAATAAAAATAAAATAAAATACCATGCATGCATATAAATATTCGTGCAACTTTAATCCTTTTTAATTATAATGATATTCTAAATCGACTTTTTTTAATTTGCAGGAATGCATCGTGGTCTGCGTAATCTCCTTAGAGGAGGTTCACGTAAGCCCCGAAACCGTACCATACTCGCAATGTCGTGAAGTTCGTACTGTGTCTGCATCTGCTTCTAACATGGACAAAATCACAATTGCGGCCAGCGCTGCAATTTGCGGCACGATAGTCGTTGCTGTGCTTGTTTTCGCAGCAGCATCTCGCCGAAGATCTCGTACCGTTCATAGATTGCATACACAAGCACCTGAGAAACTTCCAAATGCGTGTTGCGGTGGACTCACTGGTACACCGAGCCCCAATGGACCACTATCTTCGTTAGCAACGCTCGGCGCCTTTGGAAAGCAGCGTGAGTGGGATCAAGTATCCGCTTACAGCGCACGATCTATACCGCGAGCACGTACCTATACTGAACCTGCTCATCCCGACCCATTGCCAGGCCGACCAGGTCGAACGCGCTCTCTTGCTGACGGCCAATCACAACACAGCTATTCACAATCTGGCCGCTACGGAGCACCAGGATACCCCGGTAGCCTACTAGGATCACGAACAGGTAAATCATTTTTCAAAGCTCCGTACTCCGTACTTTCCGCTTTTACCTAATAATGTTGTAACAAACGTCCAAGAAGAACAGAGCACACCTTACAAGACATGAGAAGGAAAAATTAAATTAAAATTCTAGGCTAGCCACTTGATTAGCGTAGTGACAATCTAATTAATATTCTCCTCTTCAAAGAAACGAAAAACAACTAAATTGTAAATGTTATTCATTTAATTTATGGGAAAGTATGAATATGAATGGTATATTTATAGTATCATCTTTATCAATCGCAACATTGGTACTAACAGCAGAACATCAATGACCTATAATTAATAATTATATATTTAAATTTATTAGAATATAAATTGGATAAATTTTTACTCAAATAAAATTAATATCAGCACTTTGGAATAGTCATATTTTTTTATTCTATCACTCAGAACGGACTCGGAACCTTGACTCATCAGAAGCTCGACAAAAGAGCAAGAAACTTGTGTGTTCCTCTTTTAAATAAGTGTTGTTTAGATTTAGAATTACATTTTTAAGAATTGTGTTAATATAAACTACCAAATAGTATAGTTACTATAAGTAAATAAATTAAGTTATTTGAATAAAAAAAAATCCGACTGTCTCGACATATTAAGAGAGCATGACTGGCTCTTGATACTCGACCAGGTCACAACTAATAAATAATAATACTAACATACTACATATGTGGAAGCTGAAGCGAATCTGTAGTAATTACTAAAATAAAGAGAAGACGCAGAATAATATATAAATAACATTATCTCAGACAGATAAACTCAGCGTTATATCTGCACAGATAATCCGAAAGCTTTGCAAAATACACGAAGGCCTTATTCTATTCTAATGTCTGTTCAAGAAAGATTAGTAATCTACAGTTTAAATGACATGTTTTTTCTGCTTTTATTACAGATCTTCGACAGTCTCGTCAGTCTCTAGGGGCTGCATCTGAACGAGCTTCTCGTCTATCGCTAAGTGGGGTTGCTGGTGGTGCTACTGGCGGTACATCGGGATCTCGGAGGAGACCACGCTCGCGGTCACGGCCTGCCAGTCGGTATAGCGTAGGCTCCATAGGAATGGGTTATTGCGATACCTCCGATAATTGGACCGACCACGACATGGATATTTACATGGCGCGAAATCCCACTACTCGAGGTGGCCTGGTGCCTTTATAGCGTGCAAGAAGCACGGCGCGGGGAGAAGTGATGTCGCACGCACTCTGCTCGCCGTCGCGGACGGTCATCAGGACGTGTACATCGTCATGTGTGCATAAAACCCGCCCGGAAAAGTATTCGCACCACCATTGCCACCACTACAACCGCCAGAAGCTTAAGAGAAGCGGGTATTAACTATAACCCCAATGGGTAACGCCACAAAGATTCCAGCGGTAATCTCTTTGGAGTCAAAGTTTGTAAAGTTCTTTACCATTTGAAATATCGCGATAATTTATAAATTATGAAGACTGAAAAAATGTCAACGATTCTTATTCTAAGTTTACAAGTTCAGGAATAAAGTGAGTTTTCTCTCCATTGAGAGGATACATCAGTTATTGTCCTTAGATTATATTTAAATAAATAAGTTTCATACAACTCGACAATACTAAATAAATCATAGGTATCTTTGAAACCTTATAATGTTTGTCTCAAATATATATAGGCAGTAACAATTTACCATAATAAATTATGTCGATTTTGTAATTGTCAAGGTAGTCATAATATCTTGTACTGTTTAATGAGCCTTTCTGTCTTTTTGATTTTTACATATAAGCGCGAAGGAGGCTGCGCCTATATATGTAAAACTTACTACCTATATAAAAGGATATTTATTCATAATTTGGTTAGTGAAAACTAGTCACAATTATTTTTCATGTAGGACATTGCTTTATCAAAAATACTCAGAAAATTAAGCTAATAATAAATCTTCAATAAGCATGAATTACAACTTTCCCTATTGATGTTAGAAAAAACTAACAAATATTTTGTACATATTTGAAACACAATAATTAATGGTTCATAATAATAAATATTTTAATAAGATTGTACATATTAGATAGATAAAATAATAAATACACTAGAAATTATATATTAAACCAAATACAATAGAAGCGCAATCCAAATGGTGCTATTTTTTTAAATAATTGTCAAATAGACAAATGTACAGACTCATATTTGTAAAAATTTAATATATTATTTCATTTAATTCATAATTTAAATATCTAATAAATATTAAGAATGTTATAAAATGTCTATTATTCTTTACACATATTTATATTATATCCCTTGTAGTCAATAATTGCAATATGAAGAGATTTAAGAAGAGTATGCCATGTTTTTAAATATTACAGATGAGGAATTAACTTTTGTTTAAGATTAACAGATCCATAGATGGACTGATATTAATAAAATTTTTGTTTAAGTTTATTTTTTCATATCTTGTGATCCATCTGAATTTATTTGAGGTATATATGATGTATTTCTTATTGCTTAGTTTCTGCTAACCCTAATGGCAGAAATGTGTGACAATGAGTATGTATGTTTTAATACTTACAATCCTAAACAAAATTTTAATCTGAACCTTTTAAAAATTACTTTGTTGATAGATGAAAACCGCATATCAGAAACATAAAGAAAATGCAACCCGTTAATAGTAAATAGTAATAAATATTGAATTATAATATATATATTATTATTTATATATAATATATATATTTACATTTAAATATATATAAATTTCATACACTCACCCAGGAACTAATATTCGGTGCTCCCACCGGTACTGAAGTTCTTGCGTAAATTCATACCAAAGATGTGCCAGGTAGGGAAGACCCCCAGCATCATGCAGCCGTGCAGCAGTAACTGACATCCTCCACACTAAACCAAGCTCAGGGCTTGTCTTAATGTAATTACATAATTTAGGTTCACTGCTGTCAGGCTGGAAATTAATACAAAGCCAAATATTATTAATAGATAATGATTACAACCTAGAAACAAAGAAATTCATTTCTGGTTTGTAATCTTGAATACCATTAGAAAAGTCAATAACTAGGTAAACTTCTATTTTCATTGATTTTAAAACAATTGCTAGGACCATTTAGTTTGCAACCATTGTTAAGAAAATAATGAATTAATATGAGTTACAACTTAAAGTTATTATATAGTTACTTCATGTTATCTTCAAAGTTATTATATAACTATTAAATTTGGTTAATTTCATTCAAATTTAATAATAAACAAGTTTATACAATACCTGTTTAATCTCTATTTGTGAGGGATACTTAAAACCAGTGTCATCAACAGCATCAGGAAACACATAATACAACAGTGGCATAAGTAAGTCATCATTTATAGGCCCCTTGAACTCATAAACGCTGGAACTTTGACCAATAGCTGCCTTTACAAGCTTTGAAATTGTTATAGGCGCTTCAGTTATTTTGTGTAAAGGATTAACAAGACCAAGGCTTTTACTCAAACCTAAGATATCCATAAGAAGATTGTCATTATCCAACAATTCCATCATGTTTGCAATAGTCTCAGATAATTGACATTGAATGTTGTCCCTCATTTTGAATGTAATTGTCCATGTTGGAGCCATTATGGGATCAATATCAGAATATGTTGAAGAATCAACAATAGTAGATTCTCTAAACCTTGGCCATATAGCATTCAATAGTATACTATTAATTGGATTTTTATCAGAACCAAATGGCAATTCTGTTAATTTTTTTACATCAAATCCATCAATGGACAAATATTCGTTTAAATGATTAGTCTTTTTCCAAGAAAAAGGTTCTGCATCCTTCAATTCATAAGAATATTTAGCAGATACTAGTACAGTATCTAGGGCAACAGGAGAGGCAATTTTTGATTTAAATAAACTAATGAGGCCACTTAGATGAGAACATTGATTTGATATTCGCTTCAAATGTATTGTGTCAAAACTAATTTTATACTCATTATCTTCATAGAAGCCTAAATAGTTTTGCTGCCAGTGTTCTCTGATCTTTACAAACAAAGGTATACCACAATCAACATTTGCAAAAGCTATGTTCACAGAACTCATAACAACTTTTATGAGACTACCATCCACAAGTGGTATGCTGGGACACAGCATTAAATATCGTTTTAAACCATACCAATTGGACACAGGGAAAGGACTGCCATCATTGTCTTCCATGAACTGAGATGTCGCTTCCCACATATTATTTTGTATTTCTAGCAAGATAGCTTTATCATCGGATTCCTGAGTCCTTTCAGCGTTGGTGGTATGTTCAAGAGTATGATAGGAAATTATAAATTTTACCCCTTGAAAAGTGAACTCTTCAGCTTTGCATACCCATTTCTTTGTGTAGTCAATAGGGCTCGATATTTTAGATTTACATAATTTCCACTCATTCAATATTTCTTCTATTCGTGCTATAAACACTTCCCAATCAGAAACTGTTGTGAAATCCTGATGATACATATCATATTCATCAATTTCCTCGTTCATTTTAAATGTTTTGATTTTTTTGGGTAATATTTCTATAATTACTTTTATAGTTTACAGAGGAAAGAAAACAGCTGGACTGGCATAAAATGACATCTGTCAAATTAATGTCAGAAGTGACAGCAAATGACACAGCAATTCAAAGCGATGAAATAGCACAGAGTACTTCTATAGAGTAATAGCAGTTCTCACTTCTGATAATGGAATTTTAGCGTCTGACGTAGGAATGTCTCCGCTGATGGTATACCCGAGGTATAAAGAATTATGACCATGATTTCAGGTCAGGTCAGTTAGCCCATTTAATTTATCTAGAATTATCCACGATCATTTCCACGAGACCGCATTGTAGTACCATGTTAGGTCGACTTCCACGCGGTTCGTCCTGGAAACCATTGTGATAAAATCCTAGTGAATTTATCATGTTGGGCTAACTGACCGGACTTTATGTTCATCTTATCATACTCCACTGGTGCCCCGCCTGCGTAAACCGTTAGCGCAGATGCTTGCACCATACCATTATCATAAAAAAAATCCTCCCCTAATCGTTTTAGTGATTCCTCAGTGAATGTACTACATTGGTTTATATAAAGCATAACTGACTTAATTTGATCGTCATCCTATCAATGTGATAGGCACCAGCCCTAACACCATTAGCACAAACGTCATATGTTGAGAAAGTTTTATATGTCAATATCAGGCTCAAAATACCTGAAGTTAATGTAATGCATAGACACTTGACTGTTAAAACCACCTACCACCACACAATACTACCACATGTAGCTACCACCCGCTAAGCAAATAACCACTTATATGTTGCTATGGAAACGTACATGTTAATAACAAACGCTTTAGCAGGATAATTGTAGGCTCTGACAATTATTTTCCTAAATCCTATTAGTTATTATTATTAGTTATTCCTATTAGTTATTGTTCATGCTTTATAGACACGACAATATTTAGTAATAAAATGTTTAGAGGTGATAATCCTCATTCTTTGAGTTATGAACAGCAAGCAAAGTTTATACAAGATCGCATTACAAACGTGGAAAAGAACTTTGGTGTGTTATGTGTAGCTTTTGGCGATTATTCTAGAAAAACAGCAAGGTAAATGAAGTACATCCCTTAGCGAATAATATGTTATTTCGGGTTACCTAATCTCCGATATCCGATTTATAAATTGTTTTAATGTTGGATAGCTCATTTATCAAAGTAGGCTATAGACTGTATAATATCACGCTAAGCCCAAAAAGAGCGGAGCTGCAATGTTGCAAAAACAGTGAAAATATGACGCAAACGAAGTTGCGCCGGTCTGCTAATGATATATAAAATCATAAATTACAGGTATTACACTTAATACTGCCATACAATATCATGTAGTAAACGTCGAACTATATACAAATAGATCGTATATTGCACAAAGCTAACAATCTAAGGACATAAACATCAAACCGCATAACAAAATAATGCTGAATTCATTTAAACTAAATTTGTAACATTTAAATTAGTGGAGGTACTAATATATATAAGTATGAAAAAAATACAGGTTGCGCGATATGGGAGATGAACTCACTAAGGTCCTCAAAGACTACGCGAATAACGAGATCGTGAATAAATCATTGAGTACCGGTTTGGATAATCTTTCCATGACACTTACTGCTATAGAAGAATATAGAAACTGCGAGGTTCAACGTCTGGAAGCTAAGGTACGATCTTTATTAGTGATTATAATAGGTATATAAATTTAAGTAGGTATAACTATCTACTACTATCTACAAATTACCTACCAGACGGACTAGGAAAAACTGTTGCGGAATATTTAGCACCATTAAAAGTCAAGCAGTAGTAGGTACCTACAATAAAAAAAGAATTGCAGTCTTCGGTCGATTTTAAAAGACAGGAATTGGCGAGAAACTTTCCATTGTATATTTACATAGGTACATTTACAACATAAATATCTGCTCATATTATTGTTCCTAACTAATAATATTTGACCAATTATACCTGATAGCTAAAAGAGAATCTAATTTTATATTATGGGAAATATTGGGAAAGTCCTATGTGATAGGTATAATTATATGAATATAATGGTCTTGGCTGCGGCTGTTCCTAAATCGTAAATTCCAAATTTTATTTGTTATCAATTTTTAATGTCTTCAGGTAGTTGGAGAATTGTGCCAATATGAAGCTATTTGCAAACACGCACGAGAAGAGTTAAAACATACCATGAATGTTAGGGAAAAGGAATTGGCGAGGAAGAAAGTACTAGACAAGGCCAAGGAGAGACAACCGTTCAACAGGCAACAAGTAGTATGTCTTGTATAATTGTGTTGTAAATAATGTATTTATTTGTAACGGGCAAATGGGCTCATACGATGTAATGAATGATGTACCTATATGACACAAATATAATATTTTTTCGATACTTACTCCTCTTCAGTATCGTCTCCGTATGTGCCCAAAAGGGCACTCTAGCGAAATATTTATCTCCAGGCTCTTGATGATATCGTGTTTAAAGAAAGCAAATCTTCCATTTTATTGATAATGCCTAATTGTACTTTCATAAACTTTATCGATGTTTATAATGCTAAAAGTAGGAATTTGTTCGTACTGAGCAAAACTGGATTTGCCTACAATTTTTAAACTGAAGAGGTCAACAAGCAAACATATAGATACGTCGTCTTCCAAGATAAACTAGTGTTTACAATCGCTGAAGATTAAGTGGAATATTTAAATTCACTGGCAAAATTTTGGTAAAATGAACACTCATCTCACTACATACTACAATAAAACAACATTGAAATACTATAATACAATTTTCTTAACAAACATTTTAGACATATGCAGAATCGGAATTATTGAAAGCCTCAGCAGAAATGTCAAGAACCGCCAAAGGTCTTAGCGAGCAAACTGAATTCTTCGAGAGACGCAAACTCCAGCAACTGAAAAGCCTTCTATCTGATTTTGTCATGATAGAAATGACTTTCCATGCAAAGGCCGTAGAATTACTCACGGTAGCATATCAGCAAATTAGTGATATTAACGACAAAGCTGATTTGGAGGTGAGATCTTGCTATTTATCAGGCACGTCTAGTAGTTAAAGAAATACATAGTAGTGGTGTATACTCGATATTCACATGATCTTTAAGTGAAAATTGATTATTAATCAGTTATCAGTTAAAGAACCTGTAAATATACAGTCAAAACAATCTTATTTCATATTTACCTTTTTTATTTGTGATGATCCAAACAAACTTTACAAAATATTTCGAGTGTAGTTTGTACTCGTATTGAATTACTTAAAAATTTGGCACATTGTAAGTCAAGATATCGAAATGACTTTTTCTTACCAAAAACAGGTATATTTTTTACCATTTTTATTAATGCTTTAATCATTAAAAATAATAATGCTCTTCAACTCAATATATCTAAATATTGAAAAATAAATATATTTTGGTATTCGAGTGCGAATCGATTTTTCTTTTGGCAGATATTTGCCTAAGTCAACTAATATCCACTTAGTCTAGATAGATGATCCTGTATATATATAGTTAAGTTAACTATCGTAGTATTATTAAGTACCAATTAAATATTTGTACTAAACATTTTTTTTTACGAAGCTTTTAAGTACAGGTCTTTCAGAACATGAGGAACCAACGGTAAATAAATAGCAAACATTACCTATTTATATATCATCTTTAAAAATTTGCATAAATAATAGGTATATTTTCAAACAGAACTTTAGAAGAAAATTAAGGTCTCCAGAAAAACAAGTGAACACTGGAATATCGGCAAGATCTTCATCGTTAGCTTCCCTCATGAATCAACAATCCCCATCTAAAGATGATACTATGGTAATCTATAATCCATACATATATACATATATATATATATACCAATACTATATATATATAAATAAATAAATAAATATAGATATTTTCGAGTGTCTGTTTATAATATTGTAATAACCATTTTTTACTACATGCATATGAATATAAATACGGTACATACACCAAAATAACATTTTTTACCATTTTGTCTGTCTGTCTGTTTGTTCCGGCTAATCTCTGAAATGGCTGGACCGATTTTGATGGAACTTTTATTGGCATTAGAAAAATAAAGTTAAACGCCACGCGGACGAAGTCGTGGGTGCAGCTAGTAATATAATTAAGTAATATAAATGAAAAAAATATAAAAGTCACTGATGTTGACTTTTACAGATAGTACCTATTTACACACAATCAATTTTTTCCCAATTTAGATAATTAATTTTAATAATGTATCTATAATATGTCCCATTTGTACTTTGTAGAGTTTAAGAAGACTGAAATCACCCGAGAAGAATAACTTGGGGAGGTCAAACTCACTGGCTACCCTTTTGAATCACTCATCGTCTAAAGACGAGGAAGAGACTACGGTAATAAAAAATTTGGCTTTTGGAATATGAGTTCGACGCATCGTGATTAATTATTTCTGTAACTTTAATTAATAATATAACGACATATACTAATTATTTAGATCTTATTGCATTAAAAATGTGTCTCTAGGTATAAAAATTATCTTAAAGGACGGCCTTCGTTGGTCGAGATTTGATTCCTGAACATTTGTATTCATGAGAATTAATTGTTGTAATGTATGTTTTTACAAAAAATATATGTCCATGTATTTAAATCAGTTATCTCATACCTATAGGTATACAAACTCTGCTTAGCTTAGGACTACATTAGGCTGTGTGAATTGTCCTGAGATTTATATTTAGAAAAATCTTATGGTCCGACTAAACTTTGGTACTATGTAAAGTGTCATCAAGATCAATTTGAATATAAATATAGTATTTGTGTTTTATTTATTGTCATTACGGAATGTTGTATACAAACACAGTTGTAAAAATGAAAATTGTAAATATCTATATTACGTCAATTATCTATACAAATTTTACCTTAGAACTGAATAAATAGGTAGTACCTAGATAATAATCTAAATTGACACGCCGGCATAAAAGGATCCAGACAACTCTTTGGCAAGACATGACGATCTTTCCACATATACCTACAACATATCTAGGAAATGCTATAATTCACCAAATAACTATATTTTTTTTTTACTACATGGTATATGATCCTATTTACTCTGCATGTAATAACAGTGGTTGATTTAATTTACTGTCATAGAAATATAATAGATAAAGTTAGAGAATTCTAATTAAATCTGATTATTTTTTTAGGCATCCGAAGAGTCGGATGAGAACGACACCACAGAAGATACCGAATCTCGCTAATGAGGTGTATTTTAAGTGAATAAACGTTTTATTTGATATTATATGTTTTATTTTACTAACACTAGTAATTACCCAGCTGTCACTTTGAAATTTAGCATACAGTTTTTTTTAAATAGATGGTAATATAATGATGTTACTACCTACAATAAGTATCATAAAGTTAGCCTATTGTGACAAATTTATCAGGAAATGAAATGGTGCACCCGCCTGCACTGATGGTTTACGCTGGTGGACACCAGTGGAGGATGATAAGATGAGTATAAGGTCAGATCAGTTAGCCCATCGTGACAAATTCAAGAATTTATCAATCCACGTTACTAGTCAATCCTGACATAGTATATTACTAGCAATCAGATCAATCCACGTAGTACCTGCCTATTACGTGATCTTTAAAATTGGGATCGAAGAGGAATCAAGTGTATATTATTTGGAAAATTATATATTATTGCATAATCAATAATATATAATTTTACTAGCTATATAGCTAGTATTGCATTTTCATGGGATTGTTTAAACTTTAATGGTCGAGAGTTTGATTCCTCGCACAGTACAAACATTTGTATTTTTAAGTATGATTGTATTGTATTCATCTGGGTTTCCTATATGTTTCCCATGTAGGTATGTATTGCATGTACAAAAAAGTAATGATATAACTTGTCTATTATCAATAATATAAACTCTGCTTAGCTTGGGCCTAGAAGGCGCTGTGAGATTTGTCTTGGATTATTATTATTAATTATCATAGGTAAGTAAGCTAGTACTAGTACCAAGGACGGGCTATGCCAAGACTCACGTTACTATATGTTATTATTATTCCCATTGTTTGTTTAATTTTTAAAGAAACCATAAGTAAGTAGGTATACAATATAACATCTATTTTAACCAAGTTGTATTTAATATAAAGTCTATCTAAGTGGGAATAGGTTCCCAAAAAATAGGCGAATCGGAATTAGGCTCCAGAGTCGCCTATTTTACCGCTAAGCAACTATCTGTCTTTGTTCCATGCTTAAAAAATTAAGTATGTCAGCGAATTGCGAGATCGTAATTTCCGTGCTACTGCTGTTCGCATCTATAGGCAACGTTATAATGAGCATACTACTAATTCAGTGCGTCAAAAAATAGAAATTTTGGAACAAAATACATCATTTTTGGCAGACGGTTTGAAGTAAATAATAAATATAAATATATTATACTAGCTGTGCCCGCAGTTTCAACCGCGTGAAATTTATAGCCATGTGTTATTCTAATGTACACACAATATACACATAGCTTGCTATGTATATATTGTACCTATTGTTATAATATGTACATGTCATAATAATATGAAAATTTTTTGAGATCCGAATCAAAAAGCAAAATAGAATGCAACTTTAGTCTATCCATTCGTCTGCAGCTAATACTTATCCACTGTTAATGCTGTTGTTTTGATTATAATATAAATTATAGTTTTACATACAAACCAACGAAAACGCAAGTGAGAATTTCATTGCTTTTTTTAAAAAGTGATATAAGGGGCTATAAATTTCAAATTGAGGCCTTATATGAATGTGGTTCATTTGTATATTACATGAACATGTGTCTTAATATTTTTTATGCCGCGTAGTTGTCAGCTTAGAAAGGAAGGTGTAAAAATATACCATTATCTTTTAAACTTCGGAAGCGATAAATCTAAAGCAAACATTTTTTGATAAATAACTATATCCACATAAAAAACAAAATATTCTCTCTGTTTTAGGTATAACCTAAAGATGTGGTCTAAAATTAGGATATCCTAATTACTTAGATATTTAGCAGTACTCTATCTCTATAACCAATCCCGCAACATTTACAAGTGAATTAATGTGTACGCAGCTAACGCTATGACTATTATTTTCAATTGAATTTCTATTTGTTTTTTCTTCCATCTAACAATAAGAAAATTTGTTTGTGTAAGTTTTCGTTCGAGATACACTAACCTCAGCGACAGTGGACAGAGTCTATTGTCTGCGAACATTTTGAAATACGTAACTTCTCTGATAATATTACATTACTGGACCTGGTGTTCCAAGCAATACATAACTGGGCCATCAGTGGTAAACATTTAGTATACGTATGCTTATAGACGACGACCTAAATAAATACGTACTTAACGTATCAGGGACCACCGGTACCAGTCGGTACTTGGTTCAAACATAAATCCATAATGCACCCCGACACAACATGGTACGGAAGGGGAAAGAATAAACAACATTTTATAGAAACAACATATTTTAATGCAAACTCAACTTGTTTCTGCTAAGTAACCATTAAATTATATTAAAGATCACTTAATTTGGAATCACTAATGTTAATGTATACTTACATCTTATATGATTACTTTCATGTAAATATGGGTGAAAAATTTACAAAAACTATCAATATGGTGAATAAAATAGTAATGGGCACACACTATTCATTTTCTATATTACTATATCTTGCGAATAATCAAACAACCCACAATTGCAATCACTTTTCATAAACCATTATTTCCACCTTCAAATACAAATGCAGTTCTATTACTAGATGAAAATATCTAGCGATATGGTGTGTGTGAGATAAATCTATGACATTATTTGTTAGGGTACTAACTTGGTATATTTAGACCCAATTATTAATAACTATTCACTAGCTGTTTCCTACATTTCTGCTTACACAAAATAGTTTAACTCTAGTTCTTGTTATAATTTTGGAAAAGGCATACTTAATGTTCACTTCTGTTTTACATTCATTTTATAAACCTAGCAGTTTTTTACTGCATATTTGAATATTGATCAGTAAATCAGTCTGTTATTAATGTACTCTTATATTATATAATTTGTATTGTCATCTGTGAAATGAAGAACTAGATTGAAGAACTCAAAGTAAAAGTATTATAATAAGTTTAAAACAATATACATTTGTTTTTGAACCTATAAAACCCAGGTTGTATACAATAATATGTCTACTACACACCAAACAAATGACAAAACTTTTTAACACATTCACTGCTTATAATTTTATAACTGTATTTCTATCATTAAGTTGGAGGAAAATATGCATTGCAGCAAATGCAATATTATGAGTAATGAATGTGTTAAACAGAAAATACTTACACATTTAGTGGCATTTAAATATCTATTTTTTTTTTAGATGATATACTTACAAGCTTAATTGCCTACTGTAATTAATAAATACTTATCTATGAGCTTATTGCATTATAATAGTGAAAGAATATCAAACTTCTGGTTACAATTACAATCTAATTGTACTGTTTGTATTGTGTTCTCCTATAGCTAATTGAATTAATTTCAATATTATATACTGAGCCTTCATTAATTGGAACCCATAAATAGGGATTAATTTTATTTTTAATTTGTATCATTTTAATTTGAATTCTTGATGTGTAATATAATCTTTGGGTGAAAAAAGTGACGATAATTATAATAAAAATTACATACTATTTATTACTGGTGATAGTTATATTAAAATTACATACTACTTTTCGTTATCAACACCAGCCTGTGTCATAAGATCTGTGATATTCTTCTCCAATTCATCAACTCTTGTTCCCATTTCATCTATTCTGTTGATGATTTGATCCGACATACTTTGGAATTTGTCCTGCATGTTTTGTAAAAGTGATTGTACCTGGAGATAATTTTAGCAAATGTTTAGCATACCTCATATTTATTCGGCCAAGAATTCCTCTAACAAATTTAATTCCGTAATAATTAAAAGTATATATCAATACTGTATGACACAAAACATGGCTATCAATCCAATTGTATTTGTGTTTTTGTGCACCCAAACTGACCTTGTAGTTTTTACATTATGATAAAGGCCAATGAGAACCCTACATATATTTATTTTTGCATTTTAATTAAGTATGTAATCACGTTTCAACTTTCAATTAAACTATATGTCTAATAATAAATAGTCATATTACTGGAAGTTACATTATTAATTATTAATAATAAATAGATTGACTGTCTGTCAAGTTATGTCTTTTAATTGAATTTTTGTAGTATATGCTGGTCATAGTGTAGTTTAATGGTCACTTTATTAATATGAATCAAAGTTTTAGAAACTGCATATTATTATTTAATGACACACACCTCCACTACAAATTAAAATATTCTACAATATGCAGCAGATGTCTGTTACAAATGTTCTAAAGTACAGTTGTGTCAATCATCACTGAGCCATATTTTTATATACAGAAAAAATATTCTCAATAATTTTTAGTGAGAATATTCAAGAACAAGTGATGAAGGTACAAATATGCACATGCATACAGTCCACTCTCTAACAATAACATGTGAGATGCTTACTTGTAAAACTTATAAGTTATGTAGTACATCACTAGATGAAATTATTAAGGACAAAAACCAAATTTAGAAACTTACATATTGAGTGACCTCTTGCATGTTTTTGGGATCATTGGCGGGTGTTGAATAATTTCCCTCAGTCTCATTTGTAGGTGGCTCTGTATTTGGTTCCGCCATTGGATGTGTTAGTAGCTAAGAATAAGGATTTAAAATTTTTAGTAACAATAAGTCAATCACAGAAAACTATTAATTCGTATAAGTAATTGCATATGCCAGTTTGTAATCGAATTTGTCAAAAGATAATTGCCACAAATCACTATTTAACGTGTATTTGCTTAGTGTCGGAATTTGTGATGGAAATATTAGCATTATAGGTAATCGCCAGTTTGTTCTATAAACTATAATCCAAAGCAAAGAATATACTACTCAAGATCCAAAGTATCGAATAAGAAAAGTCAAAAGGACACACGTACCACATGTACTGCTACTACATACAAATTCACAATACAGGTCTCCTTGATCTGTAAATATAAATATTACTGGTAGCGTCTATTTCGTTTGTGATTTCTGAATAAAGTGAATGAAATAAGAGAACTGTGTAACATCAAAATACCTAGGAATAAATAAATGATATAACCTTGGCTCGCTCATAAGTAATTTTGACATACATTAAACGTCAAATATTGTCAACATAAACAGTTGTCAAAAATCAAATACAAAATGTTTAAACCTGTTTCCCAATACACAAAATTGTTACTTTATTATATTTTTTATAAAAATCCTGCTCTTTTTTATGGCCTAAATGGGGGCTGGCTCTGGTTGTTGTATATCTGTTTTTTTTATTATCTAAATATGTCTGGAACTAATTATCTAACTTTTAAAATATCTAAATTGTATGATCTGTGGTCAAAGGATGTCAATGTCAAAGGCAAGTTTGTAATCCTGTAATGGATATCGTCGGCTAAATTAAGGATTTGTTTATTTCATTCAAACAGTAACTGTATATTATATATTTTTTTGTTATTTTCACAAACTGAATAACTAATTTATGTATATTTCAAGTGCATTTAAAATCCGTAATATAGATTAAAATTTGGAACTTAAAATGCAACCTTTGTCAATCGATACCAAAACAGATATTCCTATTAATTTAAATCAAATTAAAATTGATATTCGAAAGGGATTGCAAGAATGTATTGACCGAGGTTTAAATCAAACTGCGAAATGGCTCGCAGAGCTAAATTATGCTTTGAAAGATCATAAACTTCCTTACGAAGAGCCTACTGGTCCTTACGACGATGGTATCGCAGTTGAAGAAAGAGAAGCATACATTTTAGCAAAAAGGTATTTTGATTGCCAAGAATTTGATAGAGCTGCGCACTTCTTAGAAAATTGCAACAGTCCAAAATGTATTTTCCTTCATAGATATTCTCAGTATATGTCTAGTGAAAAGAAAAGATTGGATAACGGTACAGAAACTGGAGCAGAAAATACAGAATCGACACAAGTGTTATTGGATCTTTTATCTTTCTTTAAGGTATGTACCATTTATAAAAATTAATTCTATATTCTGCAATCAATTTGAAACAGTGGATAAATAAAGTTAAATGTCTAAGATTTGTATCTTACTAAAGACAGTCACTATTGCAGTTAATGTATAGTTAATTATTTATTATTTATTTAAGTTAATTATTTATTTTAGTCTAAACATAGTGGTTCCTCTTTAGAAGTCAAGTATCAAATGCCTATTGCTTTATTTATGGGTACTAGGATAATTTCAAAATAATATTTTTGTTACTATCCTATTAACATGTTGAAAAATCTTATTTCACACCAGCATTTTTTTTAAATGTTAATTACATAGATTTTTTTTAAATATGGTTTTAGTGTACAGTAATTTGAGGTAGACATTATTTCAAAATGAGTAAATTTACTTCCATTGCGGTGTGACCCTCCATTGGGCATGTGGTCTTTAACTTGTTAATATCAAATTGTCTATTGACATAGTTGTGGAATAAGACTTTAAAATTAATTCTATTTCACCAAAAAATTCAAGTAACTCAATTACTGTATTTTCTTACTGTCACTTATTAAATTAATTGTGTTATATTAAAAGTTTATTATTTTACAGGCCAATAGAAATAATTCAGATGGATATCTTCTCTACCTAGAAGGAGTGGTATTAAAAAAGTTAGATCTACATAGTCAGGCTGTCACAACATTCCAGGCTTCAGTACATGCAACTCCAACACTCTGGGCATCATGGATAGAACTTGCTAGTTTGATTACTGAGTTTCAAGCTCTGGATACTCTCCAAATGCCAAAACATTGGATGATGTACTTCTTTGCAGCTCACACTTTTACTGACTTAAAGCTTTCTGACCAAGCTCTAGAAGCCTATATGACACTGGTGTCGGCTGGCTTTGACAAAAGTACTTATGTCACAGCTCAGATGGCTATTGCACATCATGACCGGAGAGGTAAAGTCTTGAAATATTAGTATATTAACAAAACTTATTGGCAACAGCAATGAATTTCAGAGATAAAAAAATATGCTGATATAATATTTTCTATTTTTTCAGATGTGGATTCTTCACTAACATTATTTCGAGAATTATACCAAACTGATCCATACCGATTAGATAATTGGGATGTGTACTCCCACCTTTTGTATTTGAAAGAAAAACGCATGGAGTTGGCAGATTTAGCACAAAGAGCTGTGTCCATTGATAAGTATAGGGTTGAAACATGCTGTGTCATAGGTATATAGTGCTATTTTAAGTAACATAGTTATTGTAAATTGTTTAGAGTCAATTCCCAGTATTAGCTGTTGATGAGTTATGAAAATGTATAAAGTATAAGTTGTAAGTTGCAGCAAAAGAAAATATTTGGTACTTGGTCTCCTACCTTGAGAGGGAATGGTTGGAAGTGGGTTAAAGTTATATAATGACTGAAAGGGATGTCTACTAGTCAATAATGAAGTAAAGTTAGGTATAATTTTATCTTAATGTGCAAAACATATTATCATGAAACAGTTTTATAAATTTAATAGGCTATAAATATTTTAATATATGTTATATATGTATTCACAATCATTAAGGTTGTGATTGGGTCTAGTACACCACCAGGCTATGGTGATGATAATTGTACCACTAAACATCATAAAACTTTTCCTTAGGTAACTACTACAGTTTGCGAAGCGAACATCAGAAAGCTGTACTATACTTTCAGCGAGCATTGTCCCTAGACCCTCAGTACTTATCTGCCTGGATTTTGATGGGACATGAATTCATTGAACTACAGAACTCAACTGCTGCTATACAGTGCTATAGACAAGCTATAGGTACTTATTCTTTAATAAAATATTTATCATTATTATTTCAAATTTAATACCACTAGTATAATAACTAGCATACATTTTATTTGTTTTTTAACAAAATTTTCCTTTTAAATTTTATCAGTATAATTTACGTACACGACTATTTAAAAAAAGACAAAAATTAAATACAATATTCTATACTATGATTGTACACTTACAATGCATTAATTTTCCCCAGATGTAAACAGGAATGATTATCGTGCTTGGAATGGATTAGGACAAGCATACGAAATATTAGGATTGAATGGATACTGTATATATTACTACTCCAGAGCTGCACAACTTAAACCAGATGACTCCAGGATGTTGGTGTCTCTCGGGGAAGCTTATGAGAAAATGGATAAAATACCAAATGCATTGAAATGTTATTATAAGGCACATAGTACCGGGGACATAGAAGGGATGGCATTGTTCAAATTAGCAAAGTGAGTATATACATATTTGGTTCTCAGTCTTATTTTCTATCATAAATTACAAGCTTAGTTTACAATTTGTTAATTTTTATATTTTAATTTTTAATTTAGTTGATTTTAATTTTTATATTAGCCGGGTTACCCGATTTACCCACCTGATGATCAGTGGTTAGCATCGCCGATTTTACATTATTATGTGACGCCTGTATTACCTGTGCTAGGCACAGGTTTTACAGGATTAAGATGTCATGCCTCATGTAATTCCAATGCTCACCCTTCAACTCGAGCACAGTTTACAATACAGGCAGATGACTTTGTACAAAGTCTAATAATATTATATAAGACTATTAATATTTTTTGGTTTTATTAATATTAAATCTCCGTACAATTCATATTAGATGGAATCTAACGAAAAATATTTTGCATTTAAAATAAATTAGAGAGAATTACTAAATGTGAATTAGTTGACTCTAAAAATATATATGTTGCAAACATAACATCATTGGTGATATAGCTCGGTCTACTCAACGATGATCATTTTTTGTTTGATGTATTTCACTTACAAATTAGCGAGCAATTAAATATATAGCAAAATGTTTATTAGCGAGCAATTAAATATATAGGAAAATTCTTTTACAGATTATATGAAAAGTCGAATATGCCAAACAGTGCAGCAGCGGCTTACACGGCAGCGTGCCAAGATCCCGCCAATGCCAGCAGCAAGGAATTGCCGATAGCACAACGATATCTAGCTCAGTATTACTTGAGATTCTCATTGCTCGATCATGCTGCTCACTATGCATACAAGTGCCTGGAGAATGAAAGTGTAAGTGTGACATACATTTTTTCCTAGTTCTTCTCTATTCTCCTGTATAACCTAGTTATACACCCCAAATTATTCTTCGTATTTGGAGCCCAGCTTCATTGGAATAAACTATTATAACAGATTTATATATATATTAAGCTATTCGATTGTGGAACTCTTTACCTCACGAAATACGTGCCAGTTCTAGTATTGAAATATTCAAATGCCGATTAAAAACGTACTATCTTTCACAATGCTGACGTATTTTTATATTTATATATTTAGGTATATATTATAACTATATTTTAACTTATGTCTTATAATTTATTTATGTACCATTTAAGTATGTCTATTGATACTTATAGTTAATATCATTAGAACAATATTTTAATATCTCCTCTTTTCGTACACGTATGTATGACTATTCTATTTAATACACGATCCTATATCATTTTCTAGGTTTGCTGGAAGAAATCTCTTTTTAGAGATAAGCTCGCCCTTGTTCATTACTTTTATTCTGTATAATTTCTTTTATTATATGTGTGTGTACAATAAAGAATAAAGAAATAATAGATGAAAAAATTGAATTTTTGTAAGAAACAACTATCATCATTCTATTATTTCGTTTGAAATGTTTGTCACTGGTTCCCATATGTGTTCTGTTCAATATGGTGGTATCTAACTGGTACGCAGAGTTAATTTTAGCTATTGATCTGAAATCAAATGTTCACAAATATTATAAAATTTGTGTAACATGTTAGAAAGAATCTAGTTATTTTTAATTAAATTCATCCTTGTATTTTTAGACAAAGGAAGCTGGAAAAAATATACTGAAGACTATATCAGAGAAGCGGTTAGCAGCATCGTCTTCACAGCCGACCAGCTTACCCGATGATTTACCTGAGGCCATCAAAAATGTGTCTGCTGCATCGTTGTCACATGACCCACCTAAAACACCATTACCAAGTCCCAATGTTACACCGGACAATTTCTCTACACCACTTATGGCCCGGAAAACTACGAAATATAAAATGTGACATACAATTTCACGCAAGTGTAAAATGTAAATGAACTATAGTGAATCATTAATGTTTATCATACTGAATATAATTTAATGTACAACTTTAACCGTTATTTTGATGTAAGCTTATAGATAGTAGTACAACAACTTCTCATATAAAGCCCTATCGGTACTCTGACTCGAAGTTTGGGAAATGGCAATAAAATTACTTAGGCATAATACTTATTATAATTACTCATTCCGTCACGACTGTAATCCCAGATAGGGCAGTCAGTCAGTATTCGACTGACATTCGATTGGTATATTTTAGATATGAGGTATGAGGTACGTAGATTTCGGTCTATATAAAGTACTATTGTTACTTCCGATAAGTTGGGGTGAGCTGAAGAGAATAATCTTATTTGCCGTTCATTACATAAAAGTACACTAATTATTCATGTAACTATTTTCCAAGAACTGTGGTTGCTTTATTCGCTATATATTTTCCCATCCATGGTATATCCTATCATTACTTTGTTAGACTATAATGGTAGTGGAAACGTAATGGACGGTCGCCTGTTGTCTTATTCGCATGAGCAAATTGGCATTAAAATAGAATATTTTTATCTATTTGACCATATGTAGTTCTAATCATCACAATTGCAACTATTACTCTAAACAAACCACATGTGTCATCGTCATCCACGTGAGGGTACGACGGATGTTGGGGATACTAATATACCTACCTACTACTAAAATAAAATAAAAACGATAATAAATATTATTTAAAAATGTAATAGTGATTAAATTTTTACAACTTTTATACAAATTAACAGATCTTAGTGCTCAAATAGTATAAAAAACAATTACAATATTAAAAACTAAATAAATAGCAGAGTGCATAGATTAGAAAGTTAATTTGTTCAAATTAGCTCTAGGCGTATAAAAATATTTTACTGACGATCACAGATTAAATTCAAATTGAGAGCTATTTTAAATATGACTGTATTAATCTGACAAGAAAAATACCTGACTCCACAAATTTTAACATAACATATTTATACATTACAAACATTTAAGTATTATAACTTATAAAACAAAATAAAGAATATTAATTGGGTTGATAATGATATAACTTTCCAATAGCCAGTAAAGTTCGAAATCTGAGCTTTGCATCAAGCCAGGGCAGTTCAAGAGATGTCGCATTGAGGAGAATATATAACAAAATAATAAATGTATTAACACAATATCGGTATTTATACAATGTTTGCTGTAGTATGGTGAGGATGATAGTTTGATTAACATTTCGTTTCACTCTTAAAAGTTGCTGCTAATTTACAAATTATGACTTAGTATTTCTGCTATGGTACAGCAGAAATACTAATTCGTAATATATTAAATCATTAATTAAATTGTTATACTGTTTTAACGTAAATTGTTAAATGTAAAATTAGTAACCGTCACCCGCACCATGCTACAGCGCACACAGTACAAGTTTCCAGAATCCATGCTCGCAGATTTTAAAACTAACAAAAACATATGAAAGAAAAAGTACCAATACTACAAAATAGAATCGAAATAACATTACGTATTATTAAAGCAAAATATTAACAAAAAAGATATTAGCATGACTTAAAATAAAGAAAAGAAACATGTCATAGTCATTGTCATTTTCATTAAGATACTACAAACCTATTATAGAGTAAATTCTCAAATTCATTTTTAATTTAGTAGTTCACTATCTATTATAATAAAATGTACATTTGACTTCGGTGTATGATATGGTGTTACAATCAAAATAATTGTATACAATATTTAAAATTTATACAAATATATTTTTTCAAGTTTTATCATATATTTCAACCCCCAGGTATGAGAGATATGGACGTTTGGGTAGATATAAAAAACTACTTAATACCACTATGGTGTTAAATCAGGCTATGTTGTAACACTTTAATAGTTTTGCCGCTTAAATAGCCAGTTTAGCCATGGATGCAAAAAGAGTGCTTAAATTATGTTATCATTATCGTAATATCACGTATTATAATTATAAAAAAAATATATTGTATCATTACATAATTGATCCATGTTGTACAAATTTACAAAAACATATAATAAAAATACATTTAATATTAAAGGCGCTTGTGTATAAGTCCAAAATATGTGCAATGAGGTCACTCCACCGCCGAGATGACTCCTTATCTAAATATTATCAATCTTCACTCATTGAATGCATTACATACCGGATACAGTAATATAGTGAGAAATATTGAGTGAGTCAATGTCGGATGTGATCTAGTTCATTTTGTGCCATCTACATTTAAGAGAGCCTTCATAATAAAAATTCCATGTCGCAATCCTAACTTAATGGTCCTGAATATAAATATAGTATAATACAATGTTTGAATTCAATTTGTTGTACAACATAATAATTTATTATTGATAGTAATGCATACAATTTTAGCCTAAAGATCATTGAACATGCTTTTAATATCTTTATAACTGTATCATTTACATTACAGGCTGTAACGCTGCATGGGCAGATATTGTTACTTTGCACCACCAGTAGAAAAATGCGACATAAGAATTCGTAATGTAAGGCTTCTCTTAAATAATTATAATAACCTTAATACATTTTATTTCGTATAACTACAATTAATAATAATTTAGAATAAAGCTAGGACCAGCATTTTATTTCATAACATTAACATCTAATTCCTTGAATCTCTTAAATTCATTAAAAATACTATAACATTTTTAAAAGTACCAATAAATATAGGTAATCAGAGAGTACAATGACAAAATTTTCTTTTTATTGGAATTATTAAGGCAGACCGAGGCACTTAAGTTTACAATCGTAATAAGCACTTTATTACCACAGATTATAGAGTGAAAGCTTGTGTAAGGTACACCACTACAAGTGAGTTGAAGTGAGTGTGGACACTAGTTGTTCCTCACTATGATCATACTATGATATACATCTATGAACCACAATAGAACATAACCGATTTAAGATGTCTCGGGTAGTTCACAAACATGACTTCGTTTTCGCTCGCTTTATTTGATAAGAGGTTTTTTTTAATAGAGAAAACAGTTTATATTATTGTAAATATGTTATTTCTCATAATGTACTCGTAGGTAGAATATATTTTATTTAAAAATGTTGTAAGTCAATATTTAAAATTTAATGGTTATTCATTACAATGTAACTCATGACTTCGTATCTACTTTAGTACTTGTTTCAGTCTACTAAAGCACTTAGTTGGAGGTAATTAAACATTAAATTGGATAGCTGTTTTCAAATTCATTTTTCATCTAACATCAATAAGAATTTCTCAAATCGATTGAATTTATGAAATTTATTGATCTACAAAAATGTTAAGTATTTGCAGATACCGAAAATACCTCATAAATGTACACCAGATAACAGGAGGATCGTATTACACCATGTTTGACTGTATATAGTAGTCAGTTGTTTTAAGATAAAAACAGTTTGTTGGTCATAGATGCCGTGGAAAGGGAGGTGATAACAATATAACTCGTTTGCATCCGCGAGGTCACCACTAGATCATTTAGCTGCAAATATAAGTGTAGTAAATTTTCTATTCATTGTAGAGGTTCCCAAATGGCAACATTTGCCATTCGTTTTAATATTTTGGTGGTTATAATATATATCTCATTTAACAGTTTTTTTTTTAAATATTTGTATTAAAAATCAAGACAAATTTTGATATATTTATCGGATCCTCCTGTAAGACAACACTTACAATTTAAGGCCACATCCAAATCGTTTTTTTCTGTTTCGACATTTTTATGTTACTACCAGCATAATTCTTTGTAGCAGTAGTTTAAATGTAAAATTACGACGATGGCTTATACTAACTATATTTCTATAAATTAATAATAAACTTTGTAGCTTCATTTGTGCTTTTGTTGCGTTGATTTGTTCTCTAAATCTTGATATGGCTCTGATTGATTCATAATTCCATCATAGGAACGGATTGTTCGAGTTCACAACGCCCCCATTGTTTGGAGATGACTGAAATGATTAGACACAATCCGTTAAGTAGTGTAAGTATACATTGTATGATTATGAATAAACAGTACTAAATTAGTAACGTATGTAGGTACTAACTATATCTGTTACATCTATGTCTATGTACAAATATAAATATTTTGAATATTTATAGTTAAGTTATTATAAAAAAATTGGGTGCAAAGTATTGAATAATATAGTTTTATAAAATGATTCATGACAAACTCTTGAACTAAATTTAAAAGTGAAGAATTTGCAATATTTTATACAGACTGATATGAAGTATAGTTGGTTAAGACTTATTGCGATTATTTAATGGTACATAGATAATATTTTAGCTGGTAATGAATAAAAAACCTAATGCAATGTAATATCGTCTAAATATTATCAAGTTCAATGATAAGTCCGTAGCAATAATATTTTATCTATTAGAATTACTATGTATTGTGTCACTTTAATATTTGTAAATACTATTAGGCTAGATAAGGTAAAATAAATTCACAAAGAATACCATCTTAGACATTAACATGAATTAACAGAATATTATACATTCATGAAGAATATGAAATATTTACTATATGTAAATGTAAATATTGATTTTTTTATATTAAGGGTATTTTTATATCATCACCTACCTATACTTAAGTATTGTTAGGGTTACATGTGTTTGAATTTAGGTAACTTATATCCGTAAATATGTAACTCCATAGTATTCCAATGTATTGTTACCCATATTTGGTTATCCTATGTTATGTAATTGGTATGACAATCAAGCTTAAGGCCCACCTGATAATAATGCACAATGGACATCACATTATCATATTACGTCTGGAATACCAATAATATGTTGCCATTCTGGAGGACTAAGAAGTCATTCCTGTTATTTTGTAATTTCACTGTGTTATCTCACTTTTCAATAGGAACACAGCTTACAAAGCAAGCTTGCAGCTGAAGTAAATATACCCAGACTTTTAGCAAAATCTACCAGGTTTACTAATTTACCAAGGTGAAAGAAAGTGAATGGGACTAAACTATTTTGAATGCTCACAAAATATGTCCAATGCTCAGATTTTGCTCTGTGCATGTGGGCAGACTGATCGCATTAGTGTAACAAAAATATAAGATTCGAGTCAGATCGAAGAAAGTGTCGATGTGAAAAGGAGATCGAGCCTATACGATTCATTCATGCGGAAAGATGCATTAAACTCGGATGACAGATTTATGAAATAGATATACAACAAGAAAGTAGAAAGCGATAGGTTACTGGGTAGGTCTAGGCTAAAGATGCGCGTCGCCGCCCACATGCATGTGTTATTAGCACTCTGTATAAACCTCTTGTTTAGACTGATATATCATGATTTATTAGATTTTTTAAAACTACCGAATGCAAAGTATTTGTCATAACTGAAAAATAGATGCCCAGTGGCGAACTAAAGCGGTTCGTTTTACCTTAATCTGCCACTGCCAAAGCCATGTTGAAGCTGACCATTATTTTTGCAATCTATAAAATTTATTCCTGTTGGCTCCATGTTTTTTTTATTTTTACTGGACTATTGACTTTAATGCGTGCAAGTTACCGAAAAATACGATTATGAGTAAAACTTTAACGTTTGACCTTAGCTCTTTTTTAGCTGTCATTGTAGTGCAAAAAGCATAATACATAGGTACACAAATATATGCACATAAAATATACAAATATGAAGTTTAGTTTAGTTTACCACTTTGATGAAGAGAGACAAGTCTCTGAAACCATCATGGACAAGAATGGCATGTTTGTTATTAACTCATTTTCACATTAACAGTATAAAAATATCAGAATTGTATAATATAGATAAGGATATTAAAAATTTCCTGTTTGTGACGTGTATTACATGTTGCCTAATTTACATATATAAATATGGCTACATATGAGATAATTGTATGACTAATTTATCTTACAACATCCTTGTTAAAGCCACATTTCATTAGGAATGTTATATATAATTAACTATAAACAAAACAAATAATGCTATATCTGTTCTAAATAATTTAAATAAAATCAAAACACAGGAACATTGACTTGTCATTCTTTTAAATATAATGTGGTTGAATAAAAACATTGCCACAGTTTGGTTTGTTATAATTTATGGCTATAAATATTTATCTATAATATATAATGCAGCTTTTCAAATGAATTGCTGACTGACTTACATATTGTTTTTCCAGAAAGAAATCCAGGGGATCAGGTACAGATGAAATGTACCTAGTACCTAATCATTATTTCATGTAATTAGGTACTAGGTACATTTCATCTGTACCTGATCCCCTGGATCTCTTTCTGGAAAAACATGAAATAATGAAAAGGCAGATTAACACTTAGCAAAATAATGTTCTTTTTGTCAAAGAAAAGATAATTTATCTATCTAGAGAGTCTATAATTGTTAGTAAAGAAAAATAAATATTCTTACCATGAAGGGATTAACAGAAACAGGTGCAGCCAGTGTGCTCCATCCTCCATTAAAAAAGGGGTTCTTATTTGCAAATAAGTCATTGGTTGTTGAACTTTGGAATGGGTTCTTATTATTAACACTGTTGTTTTCTTCTGCAATGAAAAAATCAATTTGAGTACATCAACAATAAAACTGTATGTATGGTTAACATTTTTATGAAGTATGGATATACTTACCCATATTTTTCAGATTCTGCTGTCTTAAAGCTAGATCTAGATCAGCTAAAGCAGCATAGCGGTCATCTGAAATAAATTTATAATGGATAGCATAACATTTTAGAAACAGGTAATTATCATCATCTACTTGCTTGACTGAGCATATAGACAGACATAATTATTGTTTAGAAAGTTTAAATATAGTTAGTTACACTATAACAATACCCAGTCATTTATTTGGTTCAAATTTTTATGTGCTTATCTTAAATTGACCTGACAGTAACATTCCTTTATGTTAATTATTTATCTAACATTTTGACTTTATATTAACTAGTTATGATATGCAAAATTATTATTACAAAATTTTAATATTTCATGTTAATCCATAATAAACGAACAGATGAAACTCACTTGATGCTGGTGCAGTTGAATTGAAAGCATTAAATGTAGCAGTTGATGGTTGGGATATAAAATTGTTGTTTATATTATTATTATACTGACTGCTGTTGTAAATATTTGCTGTTGAAAAATCAACAGGAAAACTGTAAGAAAAGTGTAAACAAAATTCAATGTTTGCAAACAATAAATTGAGCAAATAATTTTTGTTTAATATTAATATGAATGTTTATTGTTTATAATTCAACTTACTCAGGTACTGTGGCTGGATTCTGAGAAGGTGCGCTTACATTGTTCATCAAAAGCTTGTTGTTGGGCCTTGCCAATTTATTATTTGTGTCATTAACTGCAGGAAGTACATTGTTCACAACTCTTGCTGTCTGAACCATTGCACTGCTATTAAGTACAGTTTTTGACGTTTGAGGAGAAATCGTTATCAATGGAGACGAGTTCGTTACTATATTACTTGTGGCTTTCGTTTTAGATTTAGTCTTAGATAATGAATTACCATTTACGACAGTATTATTAAGAGGGGAGTCCAGAAAATACCGCTTCTTTTCGTACTTGTCTGACATAAAATCTTTAACGTTTTGTTCGTCAGCAAAGTTCACACTTTCACCCTCATATAAACCTAGCCACACTCGCCTACAATAATCATTACCCCTAGTCTTTATAAATTCCAACTCTTCCGGCGTAAAGGTGGCCATAGATATAGACTTTACGCGGTGAGGCGGAGTTAGACCACGCCTAGAATATAAAAACACCTTGAATGTTTGTTGATCTCATAAAAGATTATTTATGCAACAATAACGCAAAAACAATACTTACAACATTCCTGAACATTTCGAACACACGAAGGAACCGATGGTTGTATTTACATATGTGGGACCTCTTTGGTTGCAATCTAGACAGTATTTATTTCCATTTAACGAAATAAGTTCGCGTAAAATTTCTAAATTTTTGTCGTCCTGTTTACGACGATTTGCAGCCATTTTTGAATTGAATTGTTAATAATATTTTCACATTGTCGTGGATTGGTGTATTTAGTGAATGAGTGAATAAAAGAACTGTCAGAAAATGTCAATTTTAATTGACATATTGATTGACAGTAAAAGCAAATAGTGCAGTTCGACAACTTGCAGTAGAGGGCGCCATTATATTACAATATCAATTACTTTCATTGTTTCTAACAATATAACAATGAGAAATATGGTACATTATCAGTTATATCAGCCAAACGACAGTAAATATCGTACGATGTCTAAGCATTAAAATCAATTACACGGTTTTGAAGAGTAATCTATATAGGCCCAGACAGAATAATGTAATAATGTATAAAGTATATTTTATCCACAAGTGGATAGGCCAGAATAATGTAAATATAATCGATCTTTCTAATCTGTGAAATATAGTATCTAAAACAGAGTCAAACTATTATTTATTTGGTCAGTAAGATAAGCCTTTCAAACAAATCTTTGTTTTACTTTAATTAGATATTGATTAGATTTAAATACCTTGTAAGTACACCAGTAATAATGTAGTGCGATCTATTTTCACAACTAAATAAGCACTCTTATAAATGAGTCCAAAATACAGCTAAAGATATAGAATCCAATACAATTTTTATTACTACGTAAAATTTGCATAAATCTCTTCGCTAATATTTCAATCTTACCTTTTAATACCTATAATTTCTAAGCTATTAAGTGCAGCATCGCCTTTTTGCTTTCAAATTTTTTACAGGCGTTGGGTAGATATGCGTATATTTGGCGTACCTTTTCTGACTAAATAATAAAAAAAATAAACATATTATTCATATTTTAGGAATAATATGGACATGTGCAGATTATGTATGAAAGCAGAATTGCTACTAGATTTATATGAAATAAATAAGGAAAGCACACTTGCTAAGAAAATTTATTTTTGCATCGACATTGAGGTAACTGTTGTATATCATAGATAATAATAATATTTCTTTATATAAACATGTGTAATTAGTGCATACATTGAGCTACTGATTTTTTGCTATTTATGTAATGCTAAAATATGCTATCGCCAACGTGTAAAAAAATGTGATATGGACACTGGCATATTTCAATTACTTAAGTCCATTATAATATATATACATGTATATAAAATAATAATTATTATAATAATACAAATAAAGCAGATTAAATATATATATATATTGTTAAAAGTATATATTATTACAAATAAGAAATGTTCACATCTACAGGTTCCATCAGAAGATAATCTTCCATCATTTATTTGTAAACAATGCTTCAAGAAAATTAAGAAATTCTATACTTTCAAATACAAAAGTTTGAAAGTGGACATTGCTCTTAAAAATATGAAGTACCATACAATAAATAATATAATATTGGATGATGATTTAAATTCATTAGATAATGAAATTAAAGAATCTAAAGTGATACAAAATAAGAGTACATTTGTCGAAGCAACTGATATATTAAGCCAACAGAATGCTTCCTCTATTAAGAACAAAATAAATATAATCCAAAAGACACAGAAGAAAACCAATAACACAAACAGTAATTACCAGTGTGAACTTTGTGGTCACACATTCAAAATGAAAACAGTACTTGAAAAACATTTAATGATACATTCTGGTATCAAGCCATATTCTTGTAAAATCTGCCCAAGAAGATTTGCTAGAGCTGAGAATAAAATAATACACATGAGATCTCATTTAGGAATAAAACCATTTATTTGTGAAATTTGTGGTAAAACATCAACAAAAAATCAAGATTTAAAGAGACATATGAAAGTACATAATGATGAGAGAAATTATTCATGCTCAAGATGTAAACTTAAATTCAAACGATCAAGTGATTTAACCAGCCATATGCGCACCCACACTGGGATTAGACCATATTGCTGCCTAACTTGTACAAAAAGATATGCATCTCACAGTGGTCTAAGCAAACATTACAAAAAATGTTGTAGAAAAGAAATAATCTAAAGAAAAATAACAGATTAAACTTGCTGATTCAACTAACTAAAAAAGTTTTTGATATATCACTTCCTTTTTCTTTTTTGTTTGCTATTCTTGATCCAAACTGTAAAGCTCTCTTCGGTAATATTGCAACACCAGTCAGCCCATATTTGAAAGCCACAAGTCTTAGCATAAGTTTATCTCCAATCCCCAAACCCAAATTGTCATTAGGAAAGCATCTGCAAAACCAAGTAGTATTTATTATTATTATTATATATGTATTTATTATTATTCCTTAATAAACTATCTAATATGAGCAATTTCAAATGACTCAGATTGCAAAGGTGCCAAAATTGTGTGTCAATAATAAATAATACTGTAAAAAAATATTTTACCATATAGTATAACCGTCTCTAGTAGTAGTTTGATCTAAATAGTAAGAAGTTTCTTTATTTTCTTTGATAGGGCAAAATATTTACACAACATGTCCTAAAATTGATATATTCCATAAGTATCAATTATGTACTTTATATGTGAAGTTTATGATTTGTCTACTAGAGGATAGTGGACAAATCATAAACTTCATGAATACAACGCGGTAGACGGTTTCCATCTGGTTTGTACGGTTAAATCCGAGTTTCTTATAGCGCGGTTTCAATTATCAATTCTTTGATATTTGTCATGTTGACATGTACTGTACATATAGAGTTCAAAGAATGCATTTAATATTAAAGATAACAGATTTCAGAGATATTCTTAAATTAACAGTATTTCCTTTGTTTATGTTACTTACTTTAACCATGGTTTCAACTGTAGCAAAAATTCCGTAAGGTCTTCATCCAAATAAGGTAACCGCGGTTGCCGACCGTGGTCGCAAATTACTCTATTATCACGTGCTAGATTTCTAAAGGAAATTCGTTTCCAATCCAGCAGAAGCTCCTTGTTTAAACCATCCCAGCCATAACGCTTATATGCATTTCTATGTCTAGTATAACCACCAAATAACTCATCGGCTCCAGAACCTAAAAGCAGTACCTAAAAAGTTTTAATGAAGGCAGTATATTAATGACGTTTAAAATGTTAAATAACAATTAGCCCTTTGCAGATTTTATTAGAAAACTAAATAAGATGGACATTTTAAGTTCCGATCCCATTTATATCATTGTCTGTGAGTGAGTAGTAGGTATTCCTAATAATTATATGGGGCAGTGTAAAAATTGTACATGATTGATTAATTCATACTCAATTACAATTGCATCATATTATTATACATTTATACGGGAAAGTATAACATTATCCATGAGTTGTTAGGTAAAGATTGAGATTTAGTATACATTACACTTGAAGTCTATGTGGTACCCATGACTTACCCTACAAAATGATGTATCTTGACAATTTTCACCTTGAGCTGCAAACCATAAAGCTGATCCAAGACTTTCATCCAAAATTGTCTGTCTAGGGTATATTAAATCCCCTATAATTTCAGATTGATATTTTTCTAATTTAGCTCTAGGAACATTTACTTCTCTAAACACCCATTGTCTGCAAATTAAGTTATTGTTAAACATGCTGGTACACACATACCTTGTTATACCGGTATAAATATAACGTTATTAACATTATTACTAGCACATAAAGATACCTTAAAGGGCATAATCTTCTTAATTCTTCTAAAGACTGCTGTCCCGTTAATCGGTCTGGTCCATCATAATTATTGCTGTTGCCCTTTTCAAATGCAACATTGATGAGATCAATACTTTGATCCTTTGGTAAGTATTTATCTGCCAAAAATGCCAATATGGTGCAATCTAATCCACCCGAAAATAAAACACCCACAGAACAATGATTACAATTAAAATTTTTTATTTGTATACATTTTTGGCACATTTTAGGTTGACGTAGAACTCTGATTTTAACACTTTGTTCTAATAACTGTATTATTTTAGAAACTGTATCACTGATCTCATTATTATTTAAAAGTTGCTCTAAAAGATCCAATTTACATTTAGTTTCTCTTCCAAGATTTTCTATAAAGTGTATTAGAATTTCCTGTAGATAAAATAATTGAGTGTAAGTATTTAAATAAGCATATGTTTAAAACATATTTAGAAGAAATAATGAGCAGTATGGTTACATTTTCAAAGATGTTTAATTTGTCATCATATCTGAATGTAAATTTTTCATCTGGTAAATTTTGTTGTTCCTGCACTGATGACATCCATTCAATCATATCAATCTCATTGATGATTTCAAAGGTTTCACTCCAGGACATTGACATTAATTCTTTTGTTTTTATGTTTAGCATATAAATGTAGGTGGAAGGTACTTCAATACAATCATATTTTCTACCTAAAATAAAAATATATTGAAGTTATTATATAGAAATTAATATATCTTACATTTACATCTTCAAACCTACTTTGTTCCAACTGGCAAGCAACAAAATTATACTCAATAGCTACTCAAAATGTATTTTTTCGATATTTTTAGGATGTACTTAAATAATAAAAACTGTAATGTGAATTAATATCTAAATTGCATGAACCTTTTCTGTGATAAAATACACACTGATTCAAAGATTACTATTTAATTGATTATTATTATTATTAAATTGATATTATTATCTGAGTGTACCTACTGTACATTAGACAGATAATAATAATATAAATTATTTGGTTAAGTAAATAGTTCTTTTTTTATACATTGAGATATTATAATTATTACCTAAAACACTGCTAAAGACTAAAGAAGATTCATTTTTATGGACCAGTAAACTATTTCTTCCAATTCTATCTCTTGTAAAATACAGATTATGATTTACTTTGTCATAATAAATAATACTAAATGGTCCTTTCAAAGTCTTCAGTTCCTTCACTATATCCTCTGGATCATTCTGAAAATTATATTATTCATAATTATTGACTTTTATTTTCATTATACCTTTAACTTTATTGTATGGTTTATAGTTTATAGTAAGTATGTAAGTTGTATTGAATACAAGTAATTTATAGTCTAATGATATTGTTGCACATATATCATGTTTGACACCTAAGTAATCATTGAGGGACAAATAGCTATTACTTAGTGTTTAATTTAATTAAACATATATATAGCTATATGTAAGACTTCAATTTTAAAAGCTTACCATATATAAAATCCATAATGTAGTCATTTATATTAACTGAAGACTTACTTTTGCTCTGCTTAATTTCTTAACAATCACTTGAGTATCATTTATACTAGCATCCCATGATTCATCGAAAATATCTCCATTATACAAGAAAAATCCATATTCATTTTCTATAGGTTGAGATGTTAGTTCTGACCCTTGCATCCATAGAACAGCTGCACAGAAAATTACTTTAATTCCATTGTCTAAAATTATTTCATTTACAGAAACACAATTCGGTCCTCTGTTTTTTATACGTTCCAATAATTGATTGTCCTGCTAGAGAAATGTGTTGGGGTTAATAGTCATATTCATAGAAAAATTTAATTATTATGGACTGACTTCTTTGGCTCAATTTTGGTGGGAAAGGGTGTTAGTTTGGTTTAGTAATGTGGACTGATGATCTTATTGCTAGCAATGTACCATGTCAGGTTTACCTCCACGCGATTCCCCCTGGAAACCATCGTGATAAAGTCTTGGTGAATTTGTCACAATGAGCTAAATGGCCTGACTTCATGCTCATCTTATCATCGTCCACTGGTGCCCCGCCAGCGTAAACCGTTAGCGCAGGCGGGAGCACCATTACATTATCATCCATAAAAAAATGTAAACAGTGCACAATCGTAATATATACAAATGATTTTTTAATGAAGGTTAGGTTAGGAAAATTTTAATATAAATTTCATTTTAACAATATTTTCTTACTTTCAAAACACTGCTATTCGAGTAACATATTTCACAAATAATGCCACACATATTGAAGTGAGTAAATTAAATCACTCCAAAACATGGGCTATATAAAATACTTATGCCATATAATAATGTATATAATAAAAACCAAAACAAATATTGACATTAATTACTGAACTGATCAGAAAAAGTATTTCAAAAGTCAATCTGTCAGTCCGCCAAATTGTGTTACAGAATTTCAGATTACAGACTATAAATTAGATGACAGAGCAGTCGTCTAATTTATAGTCTGTATTTCTGAAATGTCTTTTGTATTTTTTTATTATTGTTAATAAATTAAATTACACAATATAATAAAAAAAGCTTAAATAAAGTTTAAGTTAAAGGTTTCTGTGAGTTTTATTGCTATGGCATCAACAGAAAAAGAAGCGGAAGGTGACGAAAAAATAACGGAAAATACAGAAGAAAATACAGAGGAGAATGAGAAAGCTGCTTTCTATGAATACATAGCTAACTTAGAAATGCGAATTAAACAAAAAACTGAGACTCGTAATCAAAATCTAAATTGTACACGACCTCCAGATAACCACTTTTCTAAACTAGATTCAGGTTTAAAGAAAAACACAACATTTGTAAAGAAATTGAAATCATTTAGTGCTATGCAAATGGATGCACTAATAAAAGATTTTAGTGCATTAAATTTAACAAAGTATATTTCAGAAGTAGCTGCTGCCATAGCAGAAGCCAAACTTAAAATGTCAGATATTCCAGCAGCAATAAATTTATGTTCAGTGCTTCACCGTACCTATGCTGACTTTTCTGCCAATTTCTTTGAAAACTGGCAAAAGATATTAACTTTTAAAGCTACTGATAAAATAACAAATTCCTCTAAACTACGTGTTGATATAAGGTTTTATGCAGAATTAGTTGCTGTGGGTATATTTGCCAACAAGACAGGTTTACCCCTACTGGGGAATGTGTTAACTGTTCTCATAAATATGGACAAAGAGGATCATAACAATATACCAATACTGCTGTCATTTTGTAAACATTGTGGTGAAGATTATGCTGGTTTAATGCCAAAGAAAATACGGGATGCTGCAGAGGTATGTGATTATGTATTTTTTTATTCTGTATTAACTACATTTATCAAAAAATATATAGGTCAAAACACAAACAAATAACTCTGCTATGTCCAAAAATCGAATGTGGAAACTATTATAATTAAGTAAAATAGTTAACTATTATTTTTTTCATTTAGATTCTGTAATAGCAATGTGTTATTTACAATATTAAATACATAGAACTCGAGAACTTTTATTTTGTGAGCTGTTATATGAGTGACATGGTTATAGCTAGACAATAAAGTTTTGCTGTTACATAATTGAATATAAGAAATAATTATAATTTGAAGTTTATACTTAAAACAGAACTACTCATAGTGATTACTTTTTTTTTTATATAATACATATTTTGCTAAAACTTCATACAGCTCTTGTTATCTAAAGCATTAACACATGAACAGTCAATTTATGTTTCATTACTTTAATTTTATTACATCTATAGAGAAATAATGATTTATGTAAATAATAATTTGATGTAAATAAATTTAATTGAACTTAAATTATTTTTTAAGTATAATTTATGTGTCTGTTACATAGAAATACAATGTCACAGTACCAAGAAATATATTCTTGCCAGCTGAAAAACAAACAGCAGTAAGGACGCTGCTAAAGGATTATTTCTTGTCTTTAACTAAACATCTGTGCGAAGGTTAAAGAAATTCAAAGGTTCCAACGAACAGAGAAACCCTGCGAGTTTTCTGTCATAGCTGAAAGGGCTCAATTACAAGCGCTTCATACGGCCAATCAACGTACCCTCCACACTAGGGGTGAACTGTCCCAGGAGAGGAAGGACCAATTAGAATTACATCAGGTAATTATTTCAATACTATTATGATTTCAGTATTTATTAATTAATCATATTCTGGCTTCGAAATTTTTAGGTAAGTAATTATGCCAAGTAGCTTTTATTTAATTATTATAATATTATTAATATTGGGCAATTAGGCTTGTAATTAAATTTTTACAAAGAGCAATGCATTAGGGCATTCTACATTGTGAGCCACATTAAGTAATGTGTATTGTGCTGATCATGTCTAGAAGCAATTATTGCCTTTACCATGTACTTGTTTGCTATTCTAGTCTTAAAATTCTTAAGCATGATGTCACTGCTTTATAGTATAAGTTATGTCTTATAACACTTTTCATATTATTAAGGCAGGAAGGCACTAAGCACCTTACCTTGCATTGAATGTTTGGGAAAGAAAGATGGAAAAGGTAATGAACAAGCTAGATTTATTTCTTTTGGTTGCTTTTACTATGAAATACTTGAATTTTTTACTAATTATTTAATATAGGAATTATGTTCTATTAAATGATATAGATATATTTATATATCTATAATATATTTTAGGCCACATATGACAAACTCTTGACTGGTGCACAAAATTTTGCTGAAGTGCTGGGAGAGGAATTGGGTGAGGCTGGTGAACCTCCAACACTATCCATGGTGGTAACTGAAACACAAGGCACAGTGAGCATAAGTGGTAATGAAGAGTTTATCATGCATGCTGGTACTGATCCCTGGCAAGATGAAGATACAAGAACTTTTTACACCAGCTTGCCTGATTTGAAAGTATTCATGCCTAACTATCAACCTAAAGAGGTATATAATGTTGTCCAATGTATTATAATTACTCTCAAATTCCTAAATATGTGAAAAGTTTAGACTTATTTTAAGTATTGAGCAGTTTGGTCATTATGACCTATTTTATTGATTGGAAAGAAGGTGACAATTTTGTCCCTTTCAAATGAATTAAATATAAACTAGTCTTTTTCTACTATTTATTTTGAAAAGTGGTAAAAAAATAATATTACTTCATCAAAGGATGAACTGTATACAATATAAATTGCCAATAATTTTATTTTCATGTTGGTCAGTGTCAGATAGCAATAATGTTATATTACACATACTGCATACTAATATTTTAATATGTAAACTTTTTAGACGGTTAAGAGTAAAGCTGAAACAGTAACAGAAGAAATGTTGGATGAGGATTTAAAAGAGGATGATTTAAGTGACAGTGAAGAACCACCTACTGTCACAGATGTAGAACAAGAAGAGACACAACCCTCAAATGTTTCTAATAAGTATGAATACTATTTATATGATACTGATATAAATTCCTTACTAAATGGCAGAATTGAGCTGGTAGAAAAAATAGCCTAATATAAATAGACGGAATATTCAACCATTATATTTATATTTACTTTCACTTTCATTAATCCTATGAAACTCCTGATGATACTTAAGGTCATCACTCATCCTAGCTGGTGTTTATAAGTAGAATTGTAATGGAGTCTATCTCGAGAATCTTTCATAGTATTTGTCTGCCCATTGTATAGTTGTTTTAAATCAACCGAAGGTACACCTTCTGTGATTTGTATTATTATAGAAGATAATTCTACTACTCAATGTTTGAGGAATCATGCACTCATACTATATGCCATTTCTTTAAATTGTGCTTTTGTCTTTACTTATTTCAGATATGCCCTAGACTCGTTTTTGAATGAACTACCAAATTGTATAAACAGAGAGTTAATAGACAATGCTAGTGTGGATTTTGTTTTGAATCTCAACACGAAAAATAATCGTAAAAAGTTAACAAGGGTTTTGTTCAGTGTTGCTAGAACTAGATTGGATTTGCTACCATTCTACTCAAGATTCGCAGCTATATTATATCCAGTTTTGCCAGATGTTTGCATGGACCTGTGCCAAATGCTTAAACAGGATTTTAAGTATCATGTAAGAAAAAAGGATCAAATCAATATTGAATCTAAGGTAATTTTAAATATTTTAAATGTATTATCATACTGAATATTTTATTAATTGTTTTTTTTTACAATATATTTTTTTGTTATAGATAAAAGTAGTGAGATTTATTGGCGAATTAGTAAAATTTGGACTATATTCCAAAATGGAGGCATTGTACTGTGTCAAAGTATTGTTACATGATTTCAAACATCACCACATTGAGATGGCATGCAATCTTCTAGAGACATGTGGCCGATATCTGTATTGTAATCCAGATACCCATCAACGAACTATGATATATCTTCAACAAATGATGAGAAAGAAGGTATGTAATTAAATTATATTTGAATTATCCAAATTATTCCAGTTAAAAGTAATAGGAATGTTTTAAATGACAATCATAGTACTAACAAAAAATTATTTATAAAGTTCTGTCTGTTATAATCTAAATTAATATTATTAAATTAGAAAATATTTTTAGACTGTTTCAGCTCTAGACTCTCGCTATGTTACTCAAATTGAAAATGCATTTTACTATGTTTGCCCGCCCGAAACTCCGGCTCAACCAAAAGAAGAAGAAGCACCTATGCATCAGTTCATTAGAAAAATTCTCCATGAAGACTTACAGAAGAGTAATGAGGAAAAGATTCTAAGATTGATGCGAAAATTAAACTGGGAAGATCCAGAGATATCAACCGTTGCAATACAGCATCTAGCTGGTGGATGGAGAGTCAGAGCAAGTGCCAGACGTGCTCTCGCTCGACTCACAGCTGAACTAGCGGCTTGGCAAGAAGCCGTGGCTCCCGCCGTTGTAGACACTATTATTGAAGAAATACGTGTCACAATGGAAGATCCACACCCTCGATATAACCAGAGAAGAATTGCCACTGCTAGGTACTTAGGAGAGTTGTACAATTATAAATTACTAGACTCCCGTGACGTATTTACTGTATTATACTCCTTCATTACTTTTGGGGTAACAAATGATCATAGTAATGTATCTCCTCTAGATCCACCAGAGAATGTATTTAGAATAAGACTGGTTTGCGCTCTGCTTGAAACTTGCGGGGCGTACTTTAACAGTGGTTCCAGTAAGAAAAAGCTTGATTATTTTATAATATTTTTCCAAAATTACTACTGGTTCAAATGTAGTGATCCATTTTGGACAGATGAAAATAAATTCCCCATTTATGTGAAGTATATATATCAAGAATGTTTAACGACATTGAGACCAAAATTGACCTTGTACACGAGTTGGCAGCAATGTAAGGATGCCATAGAAGATTTGCGACAAAGTCTTTATCCAGAATTGGGTGAGGAAGATCAATATGATAATGATGATCAAGGAGATGATAGTGTGAATGATGGACTCGACACGATTATAGAGACAGATGATGAAACAGATAACCCTCAACTTCCAGAAGAAAGTTCAGATGACGAACCATTAACAGAAAATATTGGCAATGATGATAATGAAGTACAGACTGATGATATGACTATTGAGCCAAGGAGACCGGCACCTAAGCCAGTTAGTATTACATGTCTATAATTATCTATTAAAAGTGTAGCAAGTAGTGTTTAAAAAAAACCACTTTGTTTCATTTTAGGTTGAAGATATAGAATTTGAATCAGCATTTGAAAAAATGGTGATGGAAAATATTGCAGAGAGACAACGTGAAAGTAGACCACAGCAGAGAGATATTGCTGTGCCAATGACATGTCGTCAAACTACAAAAAAAACTTATGAACAGTTACTGGTATGTACATAAATATTATTAATTATTTAGGTAATTTAAGTATTAAAGTAAACTAGTCTTACCTCTGCTACTGTATAAATTAAACAATTCCACATACATGTGTATATTATGCTTTTTTTATATTTTCGCAGCAAGGCAAAGAGGGTGTGGAATTTGTATTAATGGTTAGAAAAGGAACCAAACCGCAATACAAGTCATTCAATGCTCCACCAGAACTCGCGAGCAATTTGCAGCAGCAGGCACTAGCTGATAAACAAGAGATGGAACGCGTGAAGAGGTTTAATAATCATACATATATATAGGCGCTAATTCATGAAAAAATAAATTCGATTTAAATAAAAAAAAAGTTGTGTGTTTCCATCCAAATAAAAAGTAATTCTTGTGCGTCTGCTCTGTACTGTAGGTGCAACTGAAAATCAGCGCTAGAAACATGTTTACTAACCAGCATTATGCTAAGTTGTGGTCGTCATTGACTCTGTTTTGGAATGTGTGTAAATTATTGTTTGTATTTTTTTGTCATCATTGTTGTGTCGACCAGTCAATAAAATTCTATTATATTCTAATCGAAATGTCATGTAAAGAGATCATTTTATCATCATTACATTTTTACTAAGATAATTTTATTCTGGTGTTTTCAGACTGACACTAAATATATCAGAGAGGCAAGAAGAAGAAGAATACAGTGCTGAAAGCGGGGGAGGCTCAGGTGGTAGTGGCAATCCTAATCGTGGTCAGCATGTTCGCCAAAAATACCAACATCCCAAAGGAGCTCCAGATGCGGATCTGATTTTTGGACCCAAAAAATTTAAATAATTTAAATTTTCAGTGCTCTCGGATTTCCAGATGTCTATTGTCGGTTTCACTTTGGTCTTCTTCCGTGGAGAGATTATGTGGCATTATTATTGTGACATTACTTTATGGAATATACAAGACTTTTAGTTGCATAGATAAAATGTTTTTATACTTTTATTATAATTTAGTTGTTTCTGTAAATCTCGCAATATAAAAGCCAGTCTAACATTGATGATAGAATATAGCTATTTTCTTAATAATAAATATGCGTATTTTTAACTATACCTACCAAATTTTAATACATACGTACGTTCAGCTTTAATGATTTCATATTAAAGAAGACCAAACCGCCTACGCACAGTATAAGCTGGCGGAGTGGAGGGAGGATAGGATGTGCATGAAAGTAGGTTATTTAATCCATCATAGTAAATTCAGCAATAACTATGACGATTATCATCCAGAGGAGATCAATCTGATGGTACATTCCTAGTAGGGGCCGTTCAAGTATTACGTAAGCAGATTTGTTACAATTATTTACCCCCATTCCCCTTGTCTGCAAAAGGAAGCATACCCCCATGCTTACGTAAATATTTTTCAATCAATGTATTGTTTTGTTAGCAAAAACATTGTGAGGGTTGCCATTCGTGTAAAAAAGTAAATAATTATCGATGACGTAATCATCATCTAGACTTCCCAACCCCCAATGTCATCAAAAATAAGCAAAGTAAAGACCTTGTATCCCGCTCAGTACTTACGTAATACTTGAACAGCCCGTAATGTTGACCCTAGTCCTTATTGAAGCGAAAGGGATTGTTAATAAAGTGGACTGATGACCCGCCAGTTAGCAATGTACCATGTCAGTTTAATTTCCCTATAATGACTTTCTTAATTATAAGTTACTCTTTGATTATAAGTAGGTAGACAATGTTTAGAGAATTTCTTAATGTGCTTATGCTTACAACCGTCGAATTCAAATTGAAAACACAAGCTGTCAAAGTCAAAATAAAAAGTCATGAATCTGCCAAATTATTTTACATTTCTACTTTGTTTGATTTGTCTTTCGCCGATCTTAAATAAAAATTAATATTTTATTGAATTTAATACAGATTATGGTGTAAAGTCATATATATTATTTCAATTTCGGAGTCTCGTATTTATATAAAACCAAGTATAACAATTTACATTTGAAGTCATATCTGTTACTCCGCGAGTCAGCATGGCCGATGAAGATTTCAGCAAATTATTGCAGCAAGCCGAACAATTAACTACTGAAATCGAAGGCAATGAGGAGTTGCCAAGGGTCGAAAGATCTTTGGGACAAGTGTTAGAGGCATCACAGGAACTTTATTCCAGGGTTATTCAATCTGGCGCCAATGATATACAAGCGTATGTTTATTTCAATTCTGTGTAAATATATCACAATAACTGTAATCTATACGCTGTTTTGATTCTTTAATACGTTTATTTTAGGCATCTTTTATTTGGATCAAAAGGAATTGATCTACAACAAATATCACAGAAATTAGAGACACTCAGTTCGAAACGAACATTTGAGCCACTACAACCTATTGCTGATTCTGATATCGAGAGTTTTTTGAGAAATGAAAGGGAAAATGCTATTTTATCATTAATCGATGAAGTCAACAAAAATGTAAGTAATCTAATTTGATTTTAGAATACTGTACATTTATAAACAGAACTCATAAATTTAAGGTTAAGTTGCTGCAGACTATTAAATTACATTGTTAAGAAATTATAATATGTATGCATATGTATATATAAGAAACTAAAATAAATTATCATCTTGGTCATCCATTAGATGGTTTATTGTTGCCACTGCTTGGGTTATCCAGATTGATGACTCCAGTAAAATAATAGTGAGGAAACTAGAAATGAGAACTTATATCAAATACATCTTGCTAGGTAATTTAGTGGTAAATTTCCTTCTTAAATACAGAAAAACCTTCCTCCTTAAATGAACAGCAATGCAATTTTAATTAAATATAAAGTTAATATATGTAAATATATTCATAATGTTTTGTTGACACTGAATTACTGTATACTTTTTACAAAAATATGTTTTGATAACTATTTTGTTGTTATTGGCATAGTAACTAGGCATTAAGTACCTTCCTTTTTCTTTTTAAGTCACTACAAACAACTGAAGATCAAAAATGGGAACACATGCTCTCAGAATGGAACAGAGAAAAAATCAAACTTATGAATGCTATGATAGGTCCATCACAAAATTGGCTGGATCTAAAACGCACTCCAGAGCCACCAAGCATAGCGGATGCACCTAAGAAGTTTGGTCACTCAATGCTTGACAACATGGAGGCTGCATATGCAAGGCAAGTTCATCAATACAACAAACTTGTATTCCAAGGATCGAAGTCGAGGACAGCATTGCACCAGAAGTTTGCACAAGTTGCTGAAGAATTTAATGATCCTGTAAGTCCTTCAATATCTCTATTTAGTCTGTTTTAATCAATATCAAAATTAAGATGTGCCATCATTTACAAATTTCATTTCATATCTGTTAGAATAAATCTTATTATATATTCTTTATCATACTTTTAAATATGGTAGTAACTTAATTACATATGAAGTGAGTAAAAGAGTTATAGTACATATTGACTAAATAAATGTAATAAATCACATGATTGTCATTTATAAGTGTAAATATTAAGTGGTATGTTTTTAGTGCTTGGCTGTACAACTGTCACCCTACTCCATCTTATTTATTTATTTTTTCTTAAAGCTGACAGGAAGCAGTGGCTGAATCTTCCATTGTTTAAAGCTTACATTAAAGAGAGATTAAAACTTAATTTGTCTTGTATGAATGATGTACAATACAGTTTTTTTACAATTGCAATAATTAATTACATAAACTCCAGTTAAATTTTGGATAACATAAAATTTTAGTTAAATTGTAATGTAGAAAATTTAAAATATGCTTGATTCCTTTAAATTCAAATTCAAAGCCATTATTAATTGACACAAAATTATACAATCTAACATAATATTTAATTAAAAGTTTTAAATATAAAAGAAATATTAGTTATATATATGTTTTAAGTTACTTCTAATTCTAAGTCAACATGTCGTTTAGACACAAAGGATCTTCCAGCATTTTCCATTGCTTGTTTCCTAACATTGTTTAATTATATTTATTTTAGAAAGTTAAAGAAATGTGGGAAATCGTCAAAACAATGGCCAATATACCAGCTCTGGTAAGGGACGAAGATCCTCTCAAAGCAAGAGGTAATGAAACCATTCAACAGTGCCTTATTGCAAGAGGGAAAAACTACCTAGAGAAAAGGTAACATAGATTGTCTGTAGAGACTGGAGAAGCTGTTAAGCAATTTTTCTAATTTTTTTTTCATACAAACAGATATAAGCAATATATGAGTGATGTTGTGAAGTCTAACCCAGCTGCAGCCATGCGTGGAGGTGAACCAGGAACATATCCATTGGTGAAAGGCTTTGTGGGATTACGTCTCCAAGGCCATGGTGTCCAGGGCCTAACAGATGGAGTCATTGATGATCGCCCACTTTGGCCTATGGTATATTATTGTCTCCGAAGTGGAGATGCTAATGCTGCATTGCATTGCTTACGAAAAGCCGGGTAAGTAATATTAATATATATTGAGATTTATTATTAAAATGCAAAGTTACTTGGGAAATATAAAGGCCATATTTATGTATTTGAATTTTTATAAGGATCTAGCTTACGACGCATACATTGTGGTGCCATATAAATTAAAATCGTTATTAAAAAATAGGGGTTGATGGTAGAAGGGTGAAAATTCGGAGTTGTATGTATTTTTTAAAGCCACTTTATAAAAAAATAAATGTTAGGGGTGGATAATCTTTCTCACGTAGGGGTATGAAAAATAGATTATAACTGATTCTAAGACCTTCTGTATATCTAAAATATCATAAAATTGGTTCAGCTGTTTTGGAGGAGTATGGTAACTAACATTGTGGCACAAGAATTTTATATATAAAATAAAAATTGAAGTATATTTTAGACTTGAACTAGGTTAACTTTAAGTAATAATTAATTTCAGACGTGACCATGAGGAATTTATGGCTGCCCTAGAAGAACACATTAGAAACCCAGAGAAGTCACTAAGTGACAAATTACAAACAGCAATCAATTTCCAGTACAGAATTCAAGTGCGCAATTCTACAGATCCATATAAAAGAGCTGTAAGTATAGTTTCATTTATGTTGTAAATCTTTATTAATTATTAACATTTTAACTGCAAATGGTATACCTCATACTCAGTAACTTCACAGGTTTCATGGAAAATATCATTGTTTGTGTGAGGTGGTGGGTGGTACTAATACATATTTGTATAAACCACTGTGAAATACCGAAATAAATAATAGTAATAATTAAAAATAAATAATTAACGTCAAATTTTGTATTTGAAGTTTCAGAATACTTGTTTTTAAAAGTGTGATTTTCCACTGATAATGAGAATTTTATTCAATGATTAATATGTCACTAATGGTTCTTTGACTTATATAACATAAATGAGATTAATATCCTCTATACATAATTTCAAAACAGTAGATTTTAATTACAGTGATTCCATTTCACAGTCGCAACTGCAAACCATATAATATGTTTATAAAATCGGTACCCATCGATTTTAGTCCGTAATAATTGAGAATTGCAACGGCGTAATGCAATTAAGCTGAAGAGTACTCAACTAAATCAACAATTAAATAGTTTTCAATGTGTATAGAAAAATATAATATTTTAAATTCTTTTTAGTAATTGGTAAATAATTTAACTATGAAACTTTGGCTCACTGAAATTTAATTATACTGCTGTTCATAATATCAGTAATGATTTTGTTCTTCCAGGTATACTGTGTTATAGGTTGTTGTGACATAAGTGATGAGCATGCAGAGGTGGCGCGAACTGCAGATGATTATTTATGGCTTAAACTCTCCATCATAAAATCACGTACTACTAATGATACTGAGTTATTCTCGTACTCTGATTTACAAAAGCTAATTCTGGAAGAATATGGTATGTGTATAGTTCTATATTTTTTCTGTTCTTACAATGAACAGGTATTTCCATTTAATGCCAAGTATACTTAAAAAATACAATAAAATAATCCTTAACTTGTTTTCAACAATTCAACAGGAGAGACACATTATCACGCGTATGAAAAACCACTTGTATATTTCCAAGTGTTGGCCTTGACAGGCCAATTTGAACCTGCTATTGAGTTCCTGTCGCGAATACCAAGGTAAAATATGAATAACTATTACTTGTCAAATTTCAATATAGTTATAACAGTGGAAAAATATAAACAAAATAATTTCATCAACATATGACATTTTTACTTGCGTAATGTTAGCATTACACTTTAATTTATTTTGAATTTTATCTTTTAATAGGTTTGTTTCTTTGTTAATAACTACTATAGCCTAAGACATTTATTTATTTATTTAATAATGACATAAATGTGAAACTTGTTTAGTTGAAAATATATTGATATATATGTAGTGATTTATTTACAATTTTTAATAAAAAGATTAATACTTGGGTACATAATAAATATATGGAGTACAGATTTCGTTCAGTACAAATGTGCGATTCTTATGAGAGCGTATGTTTAATATATAAACATATTTCAGGTATCAAGTGCATGGTGTACATATGGCATTGGCATTACATGACGTTTACATGCTTGGGACGCCACGTAACGTCCAAGCACCATTGTGTAAGTAATGTAATCTTATTTACTTATTATTATACGTTTTAATAAAAATAAATTGCATATATTAAAAGGATTTCCATATTTATTCATCCCCATATTTTTTTATTACAGTGTCCGTAGATACAGACGACCCGACACCTCTTCGACGTCTAAATTTAGCGCGACTTTTGCTTCTTTATGTTAGAAAATTCGAACTCACGGATCCATCGGATGCTTTACACTATTATTTCTTTTTAAGGTATTTAATAGCATATTAATATTATTTACTTAATTTTAATTGTTACATATTTTTAAGTTATAGGTATAATGTGCCAAAAGTATGGTTGTACTCATGAAATAACTTCTAAAATGATTATTTCTTCGTTCTTACGTTTATATCTTCACAAGTTATGTGCATTCCCTTTTAAAACAATAATAAAATTTGGAAATAATTTGTATCAATTCTCATAATAATGTAGATCAATTCTCAATTATTTTATTAAGTTCGTTTATACATTAGAATTATGATGAAAAGTACGACTTTCATGATATCTGATATTGTAATATATTCTTATATTTCCAGGAATCTCAAAGATCCTAGCGGAAAGAATTTATTCATGTGCTGCAGTACAGATCTTGCACTCGAAAGTCGGGATTACGACATTCTTTTCGGTAGAATGGACGCTGTCACTGGTTTGCGAAGTCCCGGTCTACTAGATCAATTTAACAATCCCCATATTGATAGTAAGGTAAACACTTTTATTAACTTTTTCGACTAGTAAAAGTTATTAATTACAAATACTAAATTGGGTATCAAGACATAAAAACGTTATTTACCATAACGATTATATAAATAACACATTTTTATTTCATTGTTTCTACAGGAAATGTAATTATGATTAATATAAAGTTCTTTTTCTAGGTGATAGCTCTTAATGTAGCGGAACAACTAGTTAATAAAGGACTTTTTGAAGATGCCATAACGATGTATGATATTGCCGAGGTAAGTTTGTGAATTCTCTAACAGTACTATGTTTACCTACTACGCCTTATAAAGCGGTGCATTGATAATAAATTTTATTTTTATTTTTATATTTATGGTACTATTCATGAATATGCCAATGCTTGAAGGCGTCCACTATATTTTAGTAAGTATGTGAAATAAAATAGGGAATGAAATTTTGTATGGGATTTGGTCATTTGTCATTTATTCCACGCGGACGAAGTCCCAGCGACATCACAGCTTGTTACAATATATACCAAGTAAGCCATTCAAATTTGTGTTTTCAGAAACTGGAGAAGGTGCTAGAGTTGTTCTGCGTGCTGCTCGCGCAGGTGGTGAACAGCGGCGGAGGCGAAGGTGGTTTGCGGCGGCGGCTGGCGCTGCTGGCCGAGCACGTGTCACGACGGCTGCGCTCCGCCGACGACCCGCTGCCGGCCGCACTCGTCGACGCTTACACCAAGCTGTGCAAGCTGATGACATTCTTTGATCAGTTCCACAGTGAGAACTACGACGGCGCGCTTGAAGTGAGTTCTTTAAAGATTTAAAAAACGAAGGAATTAGGAATAGTATGCAATAGGAAAGTTTTACAGTCAATGTGTAGTATATCTATATATTACATGTTATTGGTTATATGTTGTTTTTTTTTTAATTACAAAGATTTATTATTATTTTGGTAATTCATTCATTCTTTTCTTTCTGGAACAAAGTATAAGAAATGAAATTGTAAATTTATTTTTGCAAAAGTAGTATTTATTACAAGGCTGAGTAGTTAGATAATAAGATAGAATACTAACAGTATTTATGCGCCAATAGTGCTATCGGATAAATTGTTATAATGTTCTAAGAAAACACACATCATAAAATTTGGAATGGTATTCATCCAGAATTAATTTTAATAAATATTTATTATACTGGCTTAGCTTTAATTCAAAACTGTGTCTACTACTTAAATATTTATCTGGTTATCATAACACACTCAAATTGAAATAAACTGTTTCTAAATGCTTGTATATATATGTAATAAAGATTTTTTTATGAATATATCTCTTTACAGACACTCCGCGAATGTGATTTAGTGCCTTTGAGTACAAGTGAACTGGATGCGCGTGTATCTGCGGCTAGAAATGCTCGTGGTGAGCTGCTTCGCAGTTTGCCTGCTGTACTCCGCGCCCTGTGTACTATATTGCTGGCGCAGAGACAAAAGTTGCGTGCGGCCGCACAAGCACAACCCCTGGCAATTCAGACTAATAACAAAGTATGTTTTAGCTCAATACTATTATTTTGCGGCCAATTTTCATATATATTACGCCGTAATATATGTTATGTGTAACAATGAGAGTAGAACGAGCAATCCGCAACGAAACAAACGAAACTAAATAAGTATTTGCTTAGAGTAGTTGAAATGAAAATATATAATTATTTTACATTTATTGCATGCTCATCATTGTTTGCATACTTTAAAAAAATTTGTTTTCATGCTATATACAATGTTACAAATTTACGGAATCACAGCTGGAATATATTCTTTACTCTCTTAACTTACTACTTACTAATATTATAAACGCCAAGTTTATAAGTATGGATGGGTGGATAGATGTTTGTTACTCTTTCACAAGAAAACTACGGAACGGGTTTTGATGAAATTTTACAGGCTATAATTAAAAATGAAATGTAAATTGAGCTAAATATTATTATAAATGTCAAGTTAGTTTGGTGACCTGTATATTTTTTCATTTTGATAACGTGAGTCCGGGCTTGTTATCTTATTAATATTATAAATGCTGAAGTTTGTAAGTGTGAATAGATGGACGGATGTTTCTCTTTCACGTAAAAACTACTGAATGGATTTTAATGAAGCTTTACAATAATATAGGTTATATATCAGAATACCACAGCCTATAAATTTCACATGGTGAAACTGCGGACACAGCTAGTGATAATCTAATTACAAAAGCTAGACATTCTCGTGTGTTATACTTCAATGTTTATATTCGAGATATCCATTCTTCTCCACTGATACTATATTATTTTCATTGGTCTCTTACAGCAAGTGGAATGGCTTCGTGAACAAGCAGAGGTCCTGAATACGTTTGCTGGTAGCATAGCTTACAGAATGCCCGGTGATACTTATAGTCAGTTAGCACAAATGCAAATACTGATGCATTAAAATATTGCCCCCATTAATATAATCTACAATCACTTCTTACTAAGAAATATATGAAAAATTTTACTAATATTTGTTTTTACTGTAAACACCTTAAGAATAACCATTTATGCTATATATAAATTTTAATCTAGAATTAGGTATTTCATAAACTTGGGTGAAGTCATGGAACTGGCGCTGCATGAATTGGAGGCCATAAAATTAAAAGCTTGCTGTTAATCATTAAATTATAATTTATTTTTATTTAATCTTTATTCAGTCTTATATTCTTAATTATACAGTGTAATAAATACGTTCAGCAAGCTGCCTCCTCACTTCTATACCTATATACAGGTCATCCATATTGTCATCAATTATTTCTGTTATTTCATTCACTGTTAGCATTGGTATGTATGGGTCAGGATCAGGTATTCCAGCTTTTATACAAAGATTATGGAGAACTGCACATGCATTGATTATCTTAGCAGCTCTATGTGGAGTATAATGTAATGGTCGTTTGTAGAGACATTGCCATCGCCCTTTGAGCTTGCTGATACATCTGTCTATGCATGCTTTAGTGCGACCATGAAAATGATTATATTGAGATTCAGGTGTTCCTTGGGGTGCATGTAATATTGGAGTCATGAGCCAAGCACGCTGTGGATATTTGTTATCAGCTGTAAAAAAAGATAAAAACACACTTTTAATAAAACAATTTAATATTCTATATCCATATATTTATTTCATATTATTAGATAATTTTACTGACCTAATATCCATCCAGTTTCACCTTGTCTGCTCATATTTTCTATATATGATCTTATATTCATTTTATTCCATATATATGTATTAGAGGCAGCACCGCCAAATCTACAGCATACTGCTATTATTGTTGTATCTGCATCACATACCTGCGAAGACAATGCTATTTAGTATCTAATCTATAATATATAAATATTCTTTTTGATTTCTTAATTTTTTTATTATTATTTTTACTTCATTTTATATAGGCATTATAAGTTGCTTTATTTATTGTCATCATTTGTTTACCATCAGAATGGTATTAGACGGCAATCTACAAATATATCCATGTACAGGTAGTCATAGACATTAGTAAGTTTGATAGCAATCTAATTTTTTACATAAATAATACATATCAATATAGTTGGAATCATGCTTACAATTTGTGCATGTATTGAGTATTGTCCTTTTCTGTCATAAAATGCTTCTTCATCTTCCCTTGGAGACACAATCTCAACATAAGTTCCATCCAAACATCCAATTGTTTCAGGAAAATGGTATTTTCTATAGAAGCTAAAATAGATTTATGACAATAATACATAATTCAGGTTTAATAATATCCATAACCATGAAAAACTTGTTTCAGAATATTAGAATTTCTTCTAATAAATACATAATAGGTAACATGTATACATATTTTTATAAATGAATATAAATATGAATTACTCTCATTGCTAACTCATGAATAGTTGAAATAATTTTTGTATTGTGACTCTATGTTCTGAAAATAAAATCTCAACTCTTGAAATAGATAAGTTTGTATAATTCATTTCTCAAGGGATATATAGTATATGGATATAAGCATAGAGTATCTGTATAATTAATTTAAAAGTAATATTGTCTAACAGGACATTTGATTATTATAAGTATTTAAATTTCATTTAGACCCATATAGACTGTAACAAAATTAATAAATGCTTACCCTTCTTTGACCTGTTCTCTTTGCATCACAGTGCTGGGAAAGACAACCCATTGGTCAAGTACCATATTAAGGCTCTCAATGATAATTTTAATTATTCTACTGACTGACTTTTGTGAGATATTTATGTGAAAATCTTTCCCAATTAATTTCTGGTGGGAACCACTCACCAGAAATGATAATGTAACTAGTACCTGAAAAAATTATGTAATATTTAACAACATATATAAGAATATTTGGAATAATAGTGCTGTATGATAAGTTCATGTATATTTGTTTATTTACATATTATAATATATATTATACCTGCATGAATAGAATATAATTTGAAATTGCATTTTAATATGCATTCATACCTTCAGAGGAAATGGTATTCCATTTGAACGTTGAGTTTTAGGAACTACTGGTTCTAATATCCTTAAAATTTGATGATACACTGCTTTGTTTACTCCACAGTTTTTCAGTAAGTATGCATCAGGCAAATTTATACAATCTAAGGTATCTCTGAGTGTTTGTCGTGCTATACGTTCTTTATATGCACTGCCACGGAGCATTTTAATCTTCAGAAGTGCATTCATTTTTATTTGTATACAAATTTTCGGTAGCTAAACTACATAATAACTTAACATAAAATAAAATGTGTTGGACACTTAGGATACAACAAAGAGAAAAGTAAATATACCAAAAGGAAATTAAAGGAATACAATATCAAAAAGCATGTACTTAATCTTTCATGTAAACAAAAGTCGAATAAAACAAACAAGAAATTTTGTCAATCGTTTTGACGTCTCCAACATGTCATTTCGTAAAGTTACGTACCCGTCATTTTGACGTATTGAAGGTTATTTTATTGCTATATTCTCAAAAGTCAACTCAAGCACAGTCAAAGAAAATATAGGAACAAAACAAATCGTATGTCCATGTTTGAAAGTGAGCTGTGTTATAAAATATTTAGATATTTATATTTTTTAAATGTAGTTATAGGTACTTTAAGTTTGAATTGGAGTGAATTAAAATACCCGTAGATCCTATAAAGCGCCGAAATACAGCACTTTAATAATGGATAAATCGAGGTAGGCTTTTCCTTAAACTTGTTATTATTTTACCTAGATTAAATTCGAAGTCATAACAAACGAGGTATAAACCAACAATTCTAAAATGTTCAGTGACATAGTATAAACACTTTAAAACCTTTTATATATTTGTTTTCAGGTTTTCTTTGTTATTGTTAGAGCCCGGTGAAATATATTTTGAAGATTTTTCATGCACTATGAGTGACGAAGAATCGGTGAAAGTCGGTAACGCGAGGCAAGGCCGACTAAAGCTTTGTTCTAAATCTCTTGTGTTTGAACCCAGAGAGTGGGTTTATCCACTCGTGAAGCTGCAATTCAAGGACTGTGACACTCTGTCGGTTGTCAAGCTGTCTCATGATGTACCAAAGACTGCGATTAAAATTAAAATTAAACAATTTGCTGAAATGCTCGAGGAAAATGTGTTGGCGCCATATAAATTTATTTATGAGAGTAGAGACTTTTTTATATTCTTCCATTTTGCTTCAGCTGAAGAGTGTTTGTCTCAAATGGAACAATTGCAGAGAGCATCAACATTGCATGCACCTGAACATAATAGTATGGTAGCAACAATTTTGCACTCTCGGTACATGAGAATGGTGTTTGACCCAGTGATGATGGATGATTTCACTGAAGAGATAATATGTGAACTGCAGGCTGAGAAAATATCACCGCTTGTGAGGCATCAGGGAAAGCTTGCACTTACACCAACCACTATTTACTTCCAACCCTTCAGTAATGTTGAGAGTGTAAGTACTTACCCCATTTGTTTTTGTGGAAATACTTAAATGTAATGACTTAATTGTTTATTAGTTTATAAATATGACCACATTGGTGTTTTGTTTCTCATAATTCTTAACATATTACATTTCATTTTTTATTTCTTTATTTGTCATGATCATTATATTTCTTGCTTTCCCTCCAATTCAGGTGACTTTCAAGAGATTGTTAATATAGAAGGAGAAGAAAGTTACTTAAATGAATTTATGGAGATTAAGAATTTTATATGAGTGAAAATTGTTAATAAAGTACATGAAGGGGTGTTACTGTTTTAGGCATTTTTAGGGAAGATTAACAGAAACAGAATTGTTTATACTGCCCCTCATAGCCTACAACACATATTTGGCAATATAACAATCTGACAAATGTAGAAATAATTTGCATGTTTTATAATTTAACTCGCTCTGCCAACAAGTTCAAAATACTCGACAATTTTAAATAATTGTATAGTTTAGTGATATTACAGGTTAATGTTGCATTGTGTAAATCACAATTATTACCTACTGGTGTGTATACCTACGTTTTTATACAAGGCCATCCATGGTACAATTTAATTGTTATTTTCATATATGTAAATAAAATATTTGCGCAACTCATAAAGCTTTATTTTAAAGATTTGTAGGTAATTTGCTCCAGATAAGTTACACTGTTTATAAACTCATGGTGACACATCCACTCAAAAATTAAAGTAGGTATATGATATCTATTATCTAAACAAATATGATGAGAATATGGGTATTTCAGTTTTTGTTATTAATGGATAAATAAAAAAAAAGATTAACTAACTTTCAATAAAATGTCATCACATTCTTTCAGAAAGGTATATTAAGTTGTCTGTAAGAGATTGCTTTAAGCAATAAGGCCGCCTTTTGTTTGCATATCCTTTTTTTTTTTATTTCCTTTTTGTAATTATTTGTTTCTTTTATGCACAATAAAGAGTTTTATTATTATTATTATTAACATATTACATCATTTAATAATTTTATTCCTTACAATTATTGTATAGGTATATCAATTAAATGTAACCCAAGATATCAGAAATTTCTATATTAATTAATATTAAATATGTATACATATATATATAATATACATATAGAAAATGCACCATGGTGTTAATTCTGCCAAATGTACTATTTTACCTTTTATAAAAAATGTGTCTTGTTTAAAATACTATAAACACATTACAGTATGTTATATTAGGTGTGATCAATATTATTATTCTATCAAAACCTAGATAAAATAAAAGATTACAACCTTATTTCTATATCAACTGTAATTAATTATACTTACAATCTATGTATATATAAGAAATAAAATTAACTAATACTTTTTCAGTTTAAAGTGGTTTATGTATAAAATGTTTTTAACACTCTGGCCTTATGTTTATACTTCTAGAGTCTATCTAATTCTTGTTGGAAAATATTATGTTTGGAATGACCTCATCTATTTTCAGAGTCCTGTTCTAAAATTGAAACTAAGTCACTTAAGAAGACTATATAAGCGAAGATTTTTGCTAAGGCAAGTTGTATGTATCAGTGTTTTATGTAATTTTCTGCTGTTAGCTCTTTATTTATATATATATATCTACTATTATATATTGAGGAGATAAGTAACAAATAATAATCTTTAAATATATATTGTTGAAGTAATCATTTGATTCTTTGTTGTAAATTCTATGCTTACAAAAATTTTAATTTACGCTTTTAGATGGTGTCAGTATTTTCATATGTATTTATATAAAGTGTATTTTATTGTCACAAATTGAAATTTAATTGTTTTATTATTGCATTCTTACTACATTTCATTATTACAATGGCTTAGAAAAAAATAAATTTTAGATTAATTTAATTTTCAAGTAATTATTCCAAGTTATGTATACAGTTTGAATGAAATTTCAGGGTCTTGAAATATATAGCGCTGAAGAGAGTGCCGTACCTCATATATATTTGACATTCCAATCAGATAGAGACAGAGATAGGATATATAAAATATTGGAAGAGTCACCATACGTTAATTTAGAAAGGGTACATGCAGAAGAAATGACCTTACAATGGCAAAACGGCATCGTTTCGAACTATGACTATCTAATGTATTTAAACTGGTAAGTAGAAACAATTTAATTTATGTTAAATACTATTTATTATAAAAATAGTTTATTATAAAAGGTACAAACTTTATTTATTATACATATGTAATGTTATATAAAGAGAAAGTGGATTTTGTTATAAGGAAAGAAAACACCCGAACTTCTGATTTCGAAAACACTCACTGTTTGAAAGCTACATTATTCTACAGTAACATGTAATAAAAATAATTACGCAGTATGATACACAGCGCCATGTAGTTTCAAGCTAAACAGAGCTTATGTTATGGGTACACAACACGATCTCGGTACATCCTATGGAAATAAACTCATTTATCTAGCAATACATAGATAATATACACAAAAAACACCCACCCTAATATTTTTTTAAATAAAAATACAAGCATTGCGAGGATTTGAACCCGCGATCATTGGAAATAAGGCGGTGTGCTAAACTTTTGGATTAGCCAGGCATATATATAATACTAGCTGTTTCCTGCTACATACTTTCTGCTTTTTGTGGATAAACGATAATCCATGTCCATATCCTCATGACAAGATCTATATTCATGTTACATTTAGCCGTTTACTTCTGAAAAGGTAATAAACAGAGATACACATATACATACACTTTCATTTATTATATTAGTATGGATGTTGATATCAGTCTTTATTATTAAAAGTTAATAAGATACATGCCTAATTATAATGACTGTTTCCAAAGCCTTGCAGATAGAAGTAAAAATGATCTCACTCAATATCCCGTGTTCCCGTGGGTCGTTGCGGACTATACATCAGAAATATTAGACCTAAACAAAGCGGATACGTTCAGAGATATATCCAAACCGATGGGGGCGTTGAACCCGGACCGTCTTGAAAAGTTAAAGGAGCGGTTCGACGAAATGAATGACCCTAAATTTTTATATGGATCACATTACTCTGCACCTGGCCTTGTTTTGTTTTATTTAGTAAGTATCGAGTTATTAACATTTATAGAAAACACCACCTTACATTTAATTTTAAATTACATAATCTGATTATTGAGAGAAAAGATACGTTCATCCTCCTGGTGCAATCTATCTTCACATCGGAGTTCATTCAGATTCATTAATACGTTTTAATTTGAAAAGAATTAATTTCCTCTGCATTATGTACCTACCTATTTACAACAAAAGTACTTTGTCACAATTACAGTGTCATTAATGACTCAAAATAAATATTACGAACAAATTGTTATTGTGGCAAGTTACAATAGTGTTTATATGTTATGTCTCATGACCTTATGTTACCGACTACTAGCAGTGGCCATGTGTTTTCTGTCTAGTTTCCGTTTAATTCAATAATTATGATCTATATTTTTACATTATTTAAATATTTTATTACTTATAGGGTATAGCATTCTGACCCAAAATCATAATGATTTCATTAGTTTTATCATCATTAATTAAAAAAATATAGGTATATTTAAAATATAAGTACATATCATTTGTATATATTTACAGGTTCGAAAATATCCACAATACATGTTATGCTTACAAAACGGTAGATTTGATCACCCAGACAGAATGTTTAACTCAGTCAAAGATGTATATAATAATTGTTTACGGAATATGTCGGACTTTAAGGTAATATGTTTAGTATATTTGGTTGTTAATAAAAAATATTATTATTCCAATTTTAAATAAGGTATAAGAAACACTTCTTTATTTTGTAACTGGCCTTTATACCACAGAAGTATTTTTAAAAAAATGTACACAATTATTAAAAAATGTTACGCTATAATTGAAGTTTCGCTACCAGCTCTCTACTATATTTATGAATCAGACTGTATTGTAATTTAAAATATATTTTGTAGGAATTGGTTCCCGAGTTTTACGATACAGATGCCAAAGGAGATTTCTTAGTAAATATATACGAGATAGACTTTGGTGAGCGGCATGACGGTAGTAAAGTGAACAACGTCGCCCTTCCGCCGTGGGCTAGTTCTCCTGAGGATTTCGTGGTCAAACTTAGGGATGCTTTGGAATCTGATTATGTTTCGAAACATTTGCATTTATGGATAGATCTCATTTTTGGATATAAACAGAGAGGAGAAGAGGCTGTAAAGGCAAATAATGGTGAGTTAATTAAAAAGTTTAGTTCTGTAAAGTCCCTTATTTCCAAATTAAGGTTCTTCTGCTTTTCCTTAGCCCATGTCATTTAGGGTCGGTGTAATATGTTTTCCCTTCCATTAATCTGTTTGCAGTCATATCTTTATTCACATCTTTTAATATATAGCATAGTTATCTTTAATCCATTTCTTTTTCGATTATCCTCACTTTTTATAACCTTCCAAATCAAGAAAATGATTTTTAAAATTAATAAAACTAATAATTTATTTCAAAATGTTCATGTACTACGAAACAAACATGACTGATGCGTTTACTGTCATCTATGAGCAGTATAATAACACTATGGATATCAGAGAAGATACTGCGTTCTGAATGGATGGTAGAATAAAAAATAAAGATTTTTTATTCTAATATCATCAAATCTATTCAAAAGTTCTTATATTAAGTTTATTTGAATAAAGATTATTTCTATCCTATTCTATTAGTAAGAAGTGTTGTTTTATATTTCTAGTTTTTCATCACGTATGTTACGAGGGCGCCGTCGATCTAGAGCGTGTTTACGATATGAACGATAGGCACGCACTAGAAGTGCAAATAATGGAATTTGGACAAGTTCCAAAGCAACTTTTCACGAAACCGCACGTTAGAAAAATAAGTCATAGGGTGCCGCCGCCATTGTGCTGCGTCGAAAAAGATGCCGTCTCATATGAAATGGAATGCGTGGATGTCATCCGGCTGCACAAAGAAGCGGTAACGTGCGCCGTACGTCACGGGACTAGAGTTATTTCTGTGGGTAAAGATGGCGCTCTCAAAGTGTACGATATGACGCAAAGAAAACAAATTAGAAGCGTCATTTTAAGCAACACACCGCTAAGCTCGTGCGTAATGGTCGATGACAACACGGTGGCAGTTGGTTCCTGGGATAACGAAATGTAAGATAACAATTTGGACAGAAATATATCATATTCATAGGTAGAGAACCTTATCCGTGGGTTAATTTTTACCGCTTAATTTAAATTGCAATTTAATAGAGAAGTGACAAATTTCGTCAAGTTTAAAATTAAATGTTATACTCAAAAACTACTGATGTTTTTCAATGCTAGTAGAATAGAATAGAATAGAATAGAATAGAAAATCATTTATTCAAATAAACTTACATTGAAGCACTTTTGAATAGTCATTACATTTTTTAATCTACCGCTCGTTCGGAAAGCTGTCTCATCACAAGAAGAACGAGCAAGAAACTTGCGTGTTGCTCTTTTAAATAATTTTATTATTACTTTACATTTTTAAGTTTAAGTGTGTGAATACAAACCACCAATTAGCACTAATTCAATTAAATACTCAAATAGAAAAAATATTGAATATATAACCAACTGGTTAAACAATTAATAAGAGGAAATCAGTCATAGTGATTAGAGCAGACCAGTCCCTACAAGCAGCACCCGTTCACGAGTATGACGGATGAGCCAGCCATCACTGCGCTCGACCATATTTTAGGGAGCCCAATGACCCGGCCCACCACGCCGCCACAAGTCTGGACATTTTAGTGAGCTTACAACTACAACAACTACAACTTACAATTGCCATCTGATAGTTATAGTATTCACATTTCACATAAGAATGCATGCGGCAATCAATACAAAAACCGCTACGCTTTCATATTTCTAAAATCAATCAATTAAATCAAGAAAGCAATGAGAAAATTAAATTATAACGTTGTATGCTAATAAACTAATTATTTACTTGATATGTTGTCGTCTATGAATTCGTCTATCCTGTAATAGGCTTTCTTACACAAAAATTGTTTAATATAAGATTTGAATTGCCTCTCTGTCAGATTTAGTGCAGATTCTGGCAGTTTATTATAAAATCTTACGCAATTACCATAGAATGAATTACTGACTTTGTGCAGGCGGCATTTAGGTAAAATTAGCTTGTTTTTTTTACATTACATTTTTTACTAATTAATTAGTAAAAAATGTAATGCTTTAATTGATCAAAAATATGTACCCACTGTACTATTGAACAATTGAGGGGTTTTGGAATTCAAAGTACTAAAATAAAGTATAAAATTACGCGATTTTACTGATACGGTATTATATATTTCGTAGAGAATAAAATGTTGAATTGCTTGTTCACGTCAATAACAGACTAAATTCCAATTTTCTTGAGAGTAAATTGCTATTTTACGCATATTGGAGTCTGTTTCCTGCATTTAGCCTCACATTGGCCTTTGTGGTGGAACTCATAGGTGATGAATTGATGACGTTGTTTGCAGATACTTGTATGACGTAGAGTACGGAAGAGTGGTGGAAAGCTTCCGTGCACATGACGATTCAGTCAGCTGTTTGTTATGGTTAGACAAAGGTACATACAATTATATCAAACAGCACATATTATAATGTAAGTTGTGATGCTTGAAAGTGATTTTTAAATCTCAATAAAGTGTCGATGTTGTGGTGAATGTAATACTTGACTTACCACATTTCGCTGGGTACATTTGATTTCAACGTGGTGAAGGCTTGTAAGCCTTCCGCTATGTCTCGGATTGATTCTTGGTTTGATATGGGCGTTTCCTACACGGGCAATCATTAAAAGAAAATTGTATCTGCCATATCTGAACTCACGACTCTTGGATTTAATTTTGGGTAGAGAAAATAGGTCATGACGCTGGTAATTACAGTACCCACAAACTACTGAATTTTGCTGTAAACAAACTTATGAATTTATTAAAATTTGAACGCATTCATAATTATTATATTTAAAAAAACGTACAAGACGCTAAAGCGATAAATTAAATGTTCTCTCTTTTAAATAAGTGATTGAAGCTCAAATACCAATGTAAAATTGTAGGCATTTCGTATTTGAAGCCATCTTTCGTAAATTTTATAAACCCATATAGTGAGATGGGAATTGTATACAAATTAGTGTATATATTTCAGAACGTCTGTTGATATCCGGCGGTTGTGACGGCGTAGTGCGCGTGTGGGGTCACGTGGGGCATGCAGGGCAGGCGCTCCGGGGGCTGCGCGTCGAGCTCGACCATGACGTCGATGTCACTGCCATCACCTACAGGTATTGTGGATCAATAATTATACTCATCTTTTATGGGACTATACATTACTGTGCGTGGTGTATCGGCACCACCGTGGCAGATTGCCGTCATCAGTGCATTAACCACAGAGATATTTTTTATTTATATTATTACGTATGTATTTATAATACTAGTAGTCTCAAATAAATAAATAAAATACACATATGTTGCGAACCTTGACGATTAATGAGTTACGTTTTGCCTCATGTATTACTAATTGCATCAACTTTATTTTACTATACTAATGTCGAACATACTAGTAAAGTATTTGTTACGCTATGATATTTCATATTAATTTTTCCGTGTAGGTACGTAGTATTTGGGATAAAGTACCTACTAGTTTTCTGAATCAAAAAATATCAGCCGGAGAAAGACGCGGGCAAAAACTAGTGTTACACACATACTCATATTTTAGCAGTAATATTCACAACCTAGTAAAGATGTATCCTGAATAGCATTTTTTGTCCAAGATGATGACTCAACGAGATTGATATAACGGGCACTACCGATGGGGAAGGTTTTATATGGGACCTAAGGACGCGGGAACTGGCGAAATTCTGTGACCACAAATTTCGCTAATTCCCGCGTCCTTAGGTCCCATACACGTACACATATTTTAAGAGTAATTTTCACCAACTCGTCTACATATACCTAATTATCATGTTTTTGTCCCAGACGACGCCGCAACGAGATCGATATAATAACGGGCACTAGCGATGGGGAAGTTTTCATATGGGACCTGAGGACGCGGGAGTTGGCGAAACTCTGTCTCCATACATCGGCTGTGAGCAGCGCGTGCCTGGTGCTGTCCGGCGACCGCGTCGTCACCGCCAGTGAGAACGGCGACATGAACGTCACCGACCTCAGTGTATCACATTCGGTAATTAATTATTTTATTATAGATTGAGCGGGTAATTATATATGGAGTGATGAATTGAACCAAATTTATATTTGTTTCATTTATTCTTTTAGAGTGGATAGATTTTCAGTAATTTCACCCTATTCCTGTTTTTTAGATTTTCACCCTCTTTCATGCACACACACAATTGTATCACTTCACCTCACAAACAGATTTATCCACATTTTTAATTACATATAAATGGTACAGTGAGGTTCCGGAGAGAGGAGATCTCTAGTACTGGTTTCGACCCAGTTCCAGTATTAATTTATTACGGTCAAATATTAATTTGACCCTAATAAATTAGTGCTAGTTGGTAGTTTGTATTCACAAATTTCGACTTAAAAATGTAAAGTTAAAATGATTATTTAAAAGAGTAACACGCAAGTTTTTTTCTCGTTCTTCTTGTGATAAGACAGCTTTCTGAATGAGCGGTAGATTAAAAGGATAACTGTGACTATTCAAAAGTGGTTAAATTAAGTTCATTTCAATAAAGGATTTTCTATTCTATTCTGTACTCAAGTATAACATTGTATATTATTACACTTAAGTAGGATATAAGGTAAACCACGTTTTTTGTCGGTAGTAAAGGGAAAAGTACACGAGTATAACGTAATCTTGTAAATTTGCATACAAAGAGCTTGGTTATTGATAAGATTGTTTTTACGTAGAACGTTTTTATATGCGTCCTTTGGACTTGAATTTATGAAACGTGACCAAATATTAGTATGAAATAATATGATGAATTGTTATAGGAAATAACCAAGGGGAGATGTTCTTGATTATTAGTTGGTTATTTTCTATGAACCATATGAGCTAGGTTGTACAATTCGTAACGGCATTTGTTAAATAGTTCATACATTACTGCACAATTTTAGAAATTAATATTCATATGAGGATTGTTAGTAACATTATTACATAATGGAAGCTCAGGATACAAAATATAATATACCATTGAAATAAAACTCTATACATATTTAAAGCACTATGCCAAATCGCCCGGACCACTTTCATTTGAGTGTTTAGCCCAGTAAAATTAATTAGTTTACTAGTTGTGCCCGCGGTTTCACCCGCGTTAAATTTCAATATAAAATATATCCTATGTGTTATTCTGATGCATAAGCTATATAAGCTGTAAAGTTTCATCAAAATCCGTTCAGTAATTTTTGCGTGAAAGAGTAACAAATATCCATACTTACAAACTTTCGCGTTTATAATATTATTAAGATTATTGGAACACTGATTTATTAGAGTCAAATTTTAAATACACAATAAGATTGGACTGTATGAATCAGGTGTACCAGAAGCACTTCCCCGAGGCGGTGTCGTCGCTGTGCTGGGATGGCAGCAGCGTGCTGTGGGTGGGCGGCGGCGGTGGCGCCCTGCTGCAGTGGAACCTCGTCACAGTCACCCAGCTCAATGAACTGAAGGCGCACGATGGTCTGATATCTACATTATATTTGATTTTGATGTACATTAATAGTATTAAAGAAGTATATTATATTTGATACTCAATTTTGACATGCGACTTCGGTATATATTAGTACTAGTTACTCAACCCGGCTTCGCACGGGTTTAGATGTATTATACATATAAACCTTCCTATTGAATCACTCTATCTATTAAAAAACCGGCTACAAAATCCGTTTCGTAGTTTTAAAGATTTAAGCATGCATAGGGACAGACAGTGACAGCGACTTTGTTTTATACTATGTAATAATGATAATGATTATTAAGAGTGTGCGATATTTGAGAGTTTACTAAGTACTATTTGTATTTGCGATGTTTGTCTGCGTAGATTTAGCTGAGTTAATTTTTCCGATTAGAAATTATCATTGTCAGGATATAAGGAAACTTGGCGATATGGACCTATACAGGATCTATGAATATGCAGTGGCTTAGGCGTCAAAAAGTTACAGTTAGACAATAAAGAGTTATATTTACAATACATAAGTATCGATAATAATTAAACTTTTTGTTTCAGATTCAATCAATAGTATCCACTTTCACGAAGAAACCAAAACGCTCATAACTGCCAGCAAAGATAAAACAATAAAAGTTTGGCAGCTGAAGCAAGTGTCCTGACGAAAGTGTTTGATAACTATTGCATTGACAGTATTATCGAAATATTTTATCGTACGACACGAACATTTAATTTATAAGAATTTAAAAAATGTGATATGTTATATAGTATACGATACATAATGACTGCATACAATTGTTCCAAAATAAGGACAATAAAATATTAAATATTTATCTTATTTTTATTATTCTTCTGTAAAAATCCCTAGATTTCCAACATTTAAATATTTAAAAGTTTAAGTTTTAAAATATTTAAACTTTTAAAAGTATGAAATTTTACAATGATTGTGAGAAAGTATTTTTTACGTAACTATGTAATATTATCTTATCTGTGGATAGAACTAAGATGACGCTGGCTTCCGTTTTAGGTCTATTAGTAATAGCTTAGTATAAAGGTAAATTAGTGCCATTTGAGAGTCAGAAACAACAAATCACAGCATCGTAATATAAACTAAATATGATAATGAAATTATTAAGTTCAGAAAATTTGCTCGGTATGCTACTAACAAAATAGCCTAACAGTTTGCACACATCTAATGGAACACAAAGAATATGTTCTCTTAACTATATTGAATTGTTGCAGAGTGAAATTGGCGAAAAAAAGCGGAATATATACGTCTTGGTCCTATGTAAATTCCGCCATGAATAAAGATGATTTTTGTCCAAATATAGTATTGATTTACTGTTCAAATAAATTCTCTTTGCAATCGTTTCAATTTTTAGCAGCGTTGATTTCGTTTACCGCCATTAGTTGATTTTGACTCTTCTATTTTGTCGAACAAGATATTATTTAACGTACATAGGTACGCCTCATTTACATTTTCTATACATGGCATTACACCAATATGTAACAAATCCGAGAAAAGAGGCTTCTGTAATTGGTTCAGAAGGATATTTTCTCTGATTTGCCTGTTACTTAATCTGGTATCATCCATTTCAGTTATTACAACATAGATACTATAGCAGTTATGTTATCAGGTTTATTGTTTCCTCCTCTTGCGAAGTATCTTGTGTTGAATATTGCTTAATAAATTGCATAGTCATTGTGCACTGCTAATACATGTCTTGTAATACTTAGGTCGCAAAAAAATAAATACCTACTAATAGAGAGTATAAGTGAGTTTGATCGTTATCTCTTGGCACTTCAATGGTTCAATCAATCGTTAGGTTAGTATAAGTAATATAGTACCTATAAGGGTATTTAGTTGTTAGGGTAGTGTTGACTGTTTGGCGTCCAAATCGCGACTCAATCAGTCTTCGAACAGTCAACACTAGGCTTCCAGGATATATTTGATCTCTATTCAATGCCTGATGATGCCTTGTTCAGAGGCGAAACACGTCGCAATATGGTTTTAGATTCATTAGAGGTCAGAATTTGATGATCAATAATGAAGGACGTAATGCTTCCAGTAGCGGTTGTCAGCGGAATCAAGCAAAATAATATAAATCCATTAAATAATAAAATGGATGTCTGTAAAATAACACCTATATTTGATAAAATATACACAATCTAAGTTATTGTAACCCAAAGTGGGTTCTCGTATCCTGGACTCGAGTGACAAGTCACGGATTGCTTTTAACTAAATTTCATCGTACATACCTACGGAATCGAAAATGAGCTATTTAATAAGAAACATTAATTTTAATGTATCAAATGTTATCATATTAAATACCTATTCATATATATGTATACCTACTTTTAAAATTATTATGTAAGCTACTTGATGAATAATAAAATATATATTTTTAACACAAATTATATAATAGACATGATATTTTCAACACAAGTTACATTTATTCCGATTAAATACATATATGAGTTAGAGAAACAATTATTGTCAACAGATTAAGGTAACCGTTCGCAATTAGAAGGCACGGCCCTTACAATTGCCTGGTTTAAACTACCAACATGCGAACGTGTTGATTCAATGCTACATAGTAACTTACTAGTTTTATAACGGTTGTAAATACTTGTCCTGTAATGTCAATGATTTCAACAATAATTGTAACCAAATCATGGCAATAATAACATGTATTTCAACTACATATATGCCCTTAATTGGTCTCTCGTTATTACTAGGAATAACATACATTCTAGGGCTGTTAATATACACTCGGTTAGTCCTCAGTCGACTGGACATCAGACGGAGAATTTCGTAGCTATGCCTCGTCCTTTTTAGAGATGGGCGGCCTGGCAACATAAAGAGCCAATTGGAATGTTAGTCGCATTAGGGTAACTTGACAATTAACAAAGTCTATATTACCAGCCTAAGAAGTTTTATCAATTGAACAAGCGAGTAAAGGATATAATAATATTCTGAAGGATCCCTTAAGGAGCTTTATGGACTATTTACACATTTATATTTTTTACTTACCTGCATATTTTTCAATATAGGGAATTGCTTAAACTACTTAAACTTAAACGTACTTAGGTATATTTTAAAACAGTGAAAGTGTTTATTGTGTAGGTACGATTGGATTGATGAAATGATGAGATGAAAATGACTACATTGATATTGCTAGAATTACGCATATATTTTGCACATTTTGCACATCAGCTTGTTAAAAGATAATCCAAACTGGCGTAAATAGCAGTGGTTTATCTGTGGTATTTAAACAAGTAGTTTTGAAATATAATAACGTTATTAATTATGTTATTTTCTATATTAATATGATGTTATTGGTTCCAGACTGTTATGTCTATCTATATAAATATATGGTCAGGGGGGGAAAGGGGATCGTTAGTAATGTGGTCTGATGATCATATTGCTAGCAATGTACCATGTCAGGTTGACATCCACGCGGTTCGTCCTGGAAACCATCGTGCTAAATTCTTGGTGATTTGTCATGATGGGCTATCTGACCTGACCTCATGGTCAGATAGCCCATCATGACAATCTCATCTTATTATCCTCCACTGCTGTCCCGCCTATGTAAAACGTTAGTGCAGGCGGGAGCATAAAAAAAAATATAGTCAAACTTCAGACACAGTTTTTTCGATTAGTACGTACAATAATATATTTTTACTAATTATTTTTTAGGTGCACTCATAAAAAGATTTAGAAAGAAAGAAATACTAACCCTGGACAAATCACACAGCACCATCTAACTCCAAGTAAAGTATTACAAACAGTCATACTCATTAATACAAACAAAAGTATGCTTCATGCATGCAAAAAACCGTGACCATCAACACTAAAACATATAAAAATTAATTAACCTATTCTTTTTATTGTAGGTATCTATTATTGCATCTTACGTTATGGAATTCTTTAAAAATTGCTTTGTATGTATAGAACATAAAACATAGATTTATTGATTTTTTTTTAATTTAGCCATTTTTATCATTGAACAAAAGCTATAGTGCATTAATGCTTTTGAAATGTTCTGAAAGCGCAAATGACTAAAGTACTAAAATTGTGGTCTGGTCGCAGGATCAAAGCATACGCCATCAACTCAAATATCACTCAGAAACATTCCAACAAGTTAGAGGAAGTCATGGTCACCGGAAAAAATGTAGGTTTAATGTTAAAACACCGATCCAATTTGGCTGCTCTATGTCGAAGGAGAAGACTAATTTATATGTAGGGTTGGAATACGATGTTCCCAATGATGTTCGGTATATTACGATGCTGATCTATCGACTGGTGAAGGAAAAATAGAAGATGAGAGGATTCAGGTGCAGTTTAGCAGTGTTTGTAGTCTAAAAAAGACTATTATAGGTGTAGGGTCATTATTACACAATTTCGGTAATGTTTACAAATTTTGATAAAAAATATACAATATGAAAATTAGTTATAATGTATATAACAGATATTTAATTATACCTAAATCATAAACATTTGTACCCACAGAAAATAAATTTGTTTGTGAATCCTAACACTTGATATAGCCCCATTTTACTGAGCGCCGCGCGTTGCTATTTCTCAGATTTATTAATTTGAAATCGAAGAATTGGTCAGAAGTGTAATCCTAGATTTATACCTATGGCAAAACAGATCATTCAGTAATATAATATTCTCACTAAAGCTATATAAAGTTCGCAGGAAATAAATACTACTTTGAACTTAATTAATGAAGGACTAATTTTGAGAAATTACCAACTTGTATCAGTTATTTACAATTTTAGCATTCGTTTTCAGAGTGGTTTTTCGTACTTAATCAATATAGAAGGTATTTTTTTGGAAAAAATATCTTAAATCATATTACTTACTAGCTGTACTCGCGCCTTTGTCAGCGTGGAATGTAACTTTATTTTTCTATAAAGTAGCATAAATTACTCCTTATTACATCAGCTACCTGCCAAGAAAAGGGCCGTCAAAATCCAACCATTTCAGAGATTAGCTGGAACAAACAGACAGACAGACAAAAATTGTAAAAAAAAAATTTTTTTTAGGTGTATATACCGTATTTATATGCATGTAGTAAAAAACAGTTATTTTAATATTACAAACATACACTCCAATTTTATTTATATGTGTAGATTTAAGGATGTCCTATATATAATTAAGTATGTACGTTTAGATATGTACATATTATGGAAATAAGCGTCCATAAATACTTCGCGTCCCCTTAATTCGGCAAGTAATTGGTAGAGCCTGTTGTATACTCTTATATGTCAATAGTGTACGGTAGAGCCGGGCGCATGACCCATTTTCCTCGTGACAGTGCCAATTAGGTAGAGATTCTACAAAACGGCCTTACCAATAATACTAAATCCTGTCGTTTAAAGAGAGATTCAACTACATCAAGTTGATGGAGTTAAATTGATAATCTCAGAATATTGTTATATTAAGTATTTAGAAATAAATACGGTTTACCATTTGAATAGATATTTTTAATGATTGTGAAGGACACAGTTATTAAAAATATCTCTAGCACCTCCTCTGTAAATGTTTTCTGCAAACTGTTTTGGTATTACAATTATAGAACTAACATTATGGACTATTATGTTCGGAGTCTCTAACATATCGCTGTTTAAATAAGGTAGGAAAAAAACTGAGGCAGAACTTCTAAAAAGTTGTCTCTCAACTTGCTTTGTGGAGAGGCCTATATTTGAAGTTTCTCTGCGTGATCGAATCAGAAATGAGAAGATCCGCAGAAGAACCAGAGTGACCAATATAGCTCGAGGAATTGCGACGCTGAAGTGACAATGGGCAGGGCATATAGCTC